CACACGGTGAAAGCCAATTCAGACGGTAAAAAAAAGAAAATCTTACAAGTATTTTGTGGTTATCTTGTGGTTTGGAAACCACAAGATAACCACAAGATTAATCGCGCATATTAGCAACTGTTAATCAAGCTGTTTTGTTACTTTTGGTATGGGAATGAAGCAACAACTTTTTTCTTTTCATCGAGACTACTTTTCAGGCACGAACCTAGTACTAGCAATACCTTCTCATATATGATATGTTTTATATTTATTTATTTATTTATTAGTTTATATTATAGTATTAATGACTGCTTTGAGAGAAATAGTTGTTTTATTACGCTCAAGGGAAGGTTAGAATTGTGCTATTCCCCGAGGCTTGCCGAGGGGAATAGCCCAATTGTAACCTTCCCGAGAGCGTATGAAAACAACTATTTCTCGAATATTAAAGCAGTCATTAATACTTTTATATGCCGAAAAAAAATAGACTAAAAAATGACGAATTAAAAATATTTATCATTTTTGTCGAAGACGGGATTCGAACTCTTGCGTACAACAAGAGATGTTCCGATAACCAACGCTTAGACCACTCGGCTATGGCCCACCGTTAACATGCTTGGCAGTTTTCTCCAATATATACATTAAAATGGATTGAAACCGGCTTCGCGTGTGATGAATGCTTCGCAAAAGCTCCATATACGGACTCTTCTTTTACTTTTGCAATGCATATTGGCACGAACTTAGATCAAGATCTATCGGCAGATGTTGTTTTTTTGTTTTTGGAAGTTTATTTTCGTCTTCATGTCAACAATGCAAGATAAAATTGTCGGTAAGATCGATCGAGATTCAATTGTATTGAAATTACCGACCAATCCTTCGCACACATACGGCATCCTCCATCGCTCAAACCATTTTTTAACATGTAAACCTATGGGGTAACCATGGAGGCTGACCAACTATTTTTAATAACCATGGTTATTAAAAATATTGAAATGTTTTAAGCATGGTTACCGAGAATTTTACAGGAACAGTTGAAGTTTATGAATGCAATTCGACCAATCAGATGGCTGGATTTCTTAAGTGAGGTATATAACAGATTATATTACAGGTATATGATATTTATACATATAAATATATATATATATATATATACATTATATGCATATATTTATTTATTTATTTATATATTTATATACACGTTATTTTCTCAAGTCGGTTTTTATTGAAATACATGTGTGGTCTGGCCCACTCGTGTTATAGGCATTATACATTGTGTGCAAAATGCATCAGCGCAATCTAAAACAGAATAGAAAATGAATTTGATACAACAGTATACATAATAATTCGTGACAGAGAGTACCATACTACTATCTTTATAACAAGTATTATTCAAACAAACATATATAATTATGTATAATCATGAATTGTTTAACTTCATGCTCCCACTATATGACTATTGTTACACTAATACTGATATCAGGACTGACTGGTATACATTAGTTTGTTGTTAAGCTTGCAGCAGCTACATCTTTTCTGTATTGTTAACTATTTATTTATTTTTGTTTTATCTAAGATGCACTTTGTTTTGTATTCATTTAAAGTATGTTGATTGATGCATGAAGACATAAGTTTGAAATGTTTAAAGAAGTTTGTTTCATGTTAAGTGCAGTGTGAATTTACCCTGTCTTGAAATGCGAGATAAAAGGAACCTATTAGTATTAGCATTATTATTTGTATTAGTATTATTTTTTATTATTATTATTATTATTATTATTATTATTATTATTATTATTATTATTATTATTATTATTATTATTATTATTACTATTACTATAATTAAGACTGACATAAAATAGAAGTAAATAATGCCCTAATTTGAAACGATGCAATGCCGTTATGGTTCCGATTTCTTCACAAACTTACAAAGCAGTATTGTTACTCCATGGATCATAGTAATACTGTTTATGTTTTTTGTATCTGTATGTTAATGAGCCGCCAGCCAATATCCATCTATGGATACTATGCCTGTTTCTTTGAGGTAAAAAAAAGCATAGTATGTACGTATTCATTATGCTTTATAATGAACAGACATATTGTTCAAAGTTTAATCGTTATTTGTTTGTTGTTTATGTGTTCTATTCACAAATGGCCACAGAGGCTGTTTTCATTCATAACCACATACCCCTATCAAGACAACAAAGACTATACCTGCGTGTACACAGTTGACATTGGTTTTTTTTTCTGAAGAGGTGTAACAGCAAAATTCACAGAGATAAATAAATACGTAGTGTGGTTCAATATGCAATACTATGTGTCAGTCCAGTCTGTATTCGTATGCCACGGTGTGTAGATCTTGTCGATGTATGTCTGTCCATTCAAGGCGTAGTATGTGTGTGTGTGTGTGTGAGTATGTGTGTGTGTGTGCGTGCACGCTTGTGTTATTTTACCTCATTAAGTATGCATATTCAGATTGCACGATTTCAAGTTCAAAATTACAAAAGCTCCCTACTGTGGGAGGGGGACACCCCCCTCCCACACCCTCCCCCCGCTCGGTCGATTCGCTCTCTCGCTCGGGCGCTTCGCGCCCTCACTAGCGTTGGCAGCCCAGTCATCCCCCAAGTGTACGAACCTGTCTACGCCACTGGTGACATGCAAACAAAAAAGCATTTATCAGTTGTAAAAACGTCAAACTGTGACTATTGATATCCTAGTATCCATTACCACTTCAACATTCAGTTACCAGTCAAAAATTGACTTTCGATATGTAAAAAAAACAGAGAAGAAACCTCATTAAGATAAACAATTTCTCTTTGTTTCTGTTTTTTGCTCAATAAGCAAATCAAGTGGTAGGAAAGCGAAAGTTTGAATATACAAATTAAGTACCATGAGGTTAGTTGCGTCAGCATGTTAACTCATTAAGATAAACAATTTCTCTTTGTTTCTGTTTTTTGCTCAATAGCAAATCAAGTGGTAGGAAAGCGAAAGTTTGAATATACAAATTAAGTACCATGAGGTTAGTTGCGTCAGCATGTTAACTCATTTGATGTTCAATGTTTTTTTCCGGACTGATACGTGCGAATCTGACTGACACTAATTGCATTATAAAACAGGCCCATAATTTTATGAGTAGCTAAGGGGATGGGTTGCCAAAGGAGCGAAAGAAAGGGAGAGAGAGAGTAAAGGCAATATTACAAAGAATATGATTACGACGCATTCACACCCTTCCTTTACCCGATGACCTAGTTCCTTTGCATTGCATCTCAAGTGTAATTCTGGTGTGCCCCCCCCCCCATGCTGAATTTACGCTTTACGCATTGGATTACGCCTTCGTTCGACTTCAAAGTCATTCACAGAATATCAACATAAGTGTATCTCTAAAATAAAACGGATGTGAACCGTCCGGTCTGAAATGTTTTCGTTGTTTTGAAAATTTGCTGGCAATTTCCTTGAAGAGAGAAAAGAGGGGAAAATCAGGAAAAAAACGTAGCCGCCTTGACCATGATGATAAAGCCACACTCTGAATGGCCGTGATAATACAAGGATGTGATCCGGGTGTTTTCACCCCCGGATATTAATACGTGGGCAAGGTCAGGCAAACACATCCGGTAGACCTACTAGGGTGCCAACGCTTTGTCATGATATAGTGGTATTATATATGGTGGTCATATTTGCTATATTTGTTATATATCAAATAAAAATCATCAAAAGCCCTTTGTCAGTCAACTTTTCCTATACATAGTTACTTTTTTCATAATGAAAAAGAGGGGGAGAGGGGGAACAGGGGGAGAAAGAGAGTGATAGAGAGAAAGGGAGAGAGGGAGAGAGAGAGAGGGAGAGAGGGGGGAGGGGAGAGAGGGAGAGAGAGAGAGAGAGAATGAATGGTATGCACAGCCAATTTACTAAATTATCTCTTTTAAAATAAGCTTGTTCAAAATAGAAGGTAGCAATTATTGAGAGCGATTGTCTGGGACAATATTAAATTAAATACTTTATACGCCCTCGTTAAACGTTTGGTAATGACATGATCAGAACTGATTTAACAAAGGATGTATGTCTATCGTGATATTTTATGATAGGAATAATTCTATATCTCATTAATTTGTTTGATTGATATCCCCGTGCCTCCATATTTACGTCGAACGGATATTGCTTGCTTCTCATTTTCATTTCTTTCAATTATGTATAATGACAAATACACACACCATTGGCGACTCTATATAATCAAGCAATTATACAAATGAAGATTAATCATGAGAGAATCGATGTGCATATAGATTTAATTAATGATTCCTACGGAAACGCTTTGTTTTTCTTCTAATTTAGACAGCAATGTTGATTATTGTTCAATGATGTATGGACAGAGATTGTATGCCTTATACGTTGGTATGAATGCATAATACAACTATGCAGGATTCCTGTTTTCATACAATAGGGAAACCAACTAAATATAGTAAAAATGCATATCAATTTGAGTTATACAGTCAAAGCTGCTTTAGTGACCACCTGTCTACAGGGACCACTTTTCCTGTCTCCCTAGGGTGGTCTTTATAGACAGGTTTCACTGTATAACACAAATTCAATATATATCTATATCTCTATCTCTCTCTTTTTTTCTCGCTCAATCTGTCTATCTCTCTTTTTCGCTCAATCAATCAATAAATCTATCTATTTATCCATTATATCTCTGCTTCCCAGGTGTCACATGCATATTCACTTTTTTACATAATATCAGTGAAGGGATGTTCCTTTGTCTACCTGAGGAACTGTATATTTTGTCCGCTTTCTTTGTATGTCATGTTCATAGTATCTCCCTCCTATCTCTCCCTCTATCCCTCCAACCCTCCCTTCCTTAGTCCTATTTTCTCCTGTTGTACTTCTCCCCTTTCTTTATCCCTCATACATCCTAGCGCACTTGAATCATTCCGAATGTTTTTATGTCTCTCCACCTGTCGTTCACATTATATTTATGATGTACAATCACCTTTATTTATGTAACTCTTTAAATCAATTTTATATCATGATAGATCAATGGTTTCGGCGCCGTTCTTTTCACCTTCGCCAACTTCACGACGATCCTGGCCATCTCTCTGGACCGCTACCTGACCATAGTGTGGTCCACCAGGTTCCCTCCTACCAAGTGTCGTGCCATTGGTTTCATCATCTTCTGTTGGTTTCTACCCATCCTCAATGTCCTTCCTCCAGCCTTTGAGTTCCTCTCCGATTTTAATTACCATCCTGACACACATCACTGCTCACCTAAGTGGGAGGATTGTCTCTATTTCATCATCTGGTTTACTTTCATCTTTGGTGTAACTGTTCCTATCATGGCCTTTTCATACATTGCTGTTATCTGGACTATCAGACGACAGGAACTTCAGGTAGGAATTTGAATCAAAGATATTTTACACCTGATTTTCAAAAATGAAAAGAACAATAAACAAATAACCGTATATTTTAAGAGTAATCGAACATGTAAAGTCATAACTATTTTCTTATTCCCCGTCTGTTTGACTTATTCATGTATGATACCAATGGCAACATGAGAGTTTTAGAATTACGGTATAACTGCTAAATTACATAGTTTTGAAGTACGTTACTACGATAATACCCCATTCTTTAAACAGCATTTTACAAACTTTGTGCATTTGCTACTTTCAGATGATATACTCGCTGCTAGGAAATTTTTGCGGTATTGATTCAGCTCGTCGTACTGAAATGCTCGTGGTAGACATACCTTGGTGCTATTATGTACTTTTATATCAATACAATGTGATTTGTGTGAAACGAGAATCAAATCAGAGTCATTCTGATTAATTTCTTCATCCTTTTCCTATCAGCTAAGGTCTCATGCTGCTTTCAAGAAAGGCAAAAACAGCAACAGCAAGCAGACGAGTGACGGCGGAGTGATCAATGTTTCGATGGACATCGTAAGCAATGATCAACCAGAAGGCTCCTCCGCTGATTGGCCCAAGTCTTCGGACGATATCGGAACTACTGATTATGACGTCACAGAAGACGAGGGGGCGAGTGGTGGAGTTGGGATAAAGGATCACGTGATCGCCAAGCCACAGAGAAAGAAGAAGAAAAGGCAGCAGCTACTCTCCAAGCTAGACAAACTCAGTGCGGACAAACGGGTAGCATTGACAGGTATAAATATGTTAGCTTCTTTTGTGTGTGGAAAAAGTATATACATGGGAATCCAAATTTTGAGGTGTGTTGACTTTGGTCTGGAATTACTTTTGAATTACCCCTCCAATAATTATGTCGATATAATATGTTGGCATATTCACATCATTCGTAATCTAGTGCGAATATAATTAGTATCATTCTTCTTACTGTATAAGCCAAATAAATGTTCCCTAAATAATGAACATCAGATCCCTCAAAGTATTTATGTGGTTATATATTTAGAAAATTCGTCACCCCAAATCACTGACTATAGTAACTTTCTACTTTCATCACGTTCACATCCCTGTCTATCATGGAGTTCCTTAAACTCCTTTATATGTATATCGTGTTAAATCTTCATTAGCTCTTCTGTCTTCCACTTAAATTCTTCCACCATCTTTTTTCTATACGTACTCATTATACTATCCGTTACTCTTCCCCTTACTCCTTCCTCTCCTTGTTCTTTTCTTCTTGTTGTTATTCTTCTTCTTCTTCTTCCTATTCTTCTTCTTAATTTTATTTAATTGTCTTCATATTTTACACCCATTCTGCTGTTTACGTCCCTTTAAAGGTACTATGTCCCTTTTGCAGCCAACCTCAAATTTTGTAGAACTTTTTATCTGTAAAATTTAAACGTTAGCAGTGTCCTAATATTCAAATTATGCAAGGAAACCCGTTTACTTGCTAGACTTCACTGTCAGACACTATTGAGTGATTGACTTTTTTTTTGGGGGGGGGGGTAATAACATACATAAAATGAGCTGTAAAGGGTACATGAGCATTTGTCTACATCAATAACCCACTTCTTGTGATGGCCAAAATTAAACTGAATGAATCTTTTCGCAGCATAAAACGTATGACCATTCGATACAATGGTCTGAAAATCAGGACTTTTACTTATTGGCTCTATAGCTCCTAAGTCGATTTGACAACTAATAGTCGTTATTTTCTCACTTGAAGACATTTTCAAGTCCCACTTTTTTTAGGGAAGTTCTCAATTAGTATTATCTTTCAAATGCCATCGGAATTTAACCTTTTCATTTTTTTGGCCTGTAAATGAGACATAGTGCCTTTAACACGTGTTTACATACCGTTGTAATATCTTCAATGTTCGTAGCGCGTAACGAAAGCGCATCCCCTTGAAATAGGTCATAAAAAGCACATACATTTCTTAAAATAAATTTCCTTTATTAATTTCTCGAGCATGTATGATTAAATCGACATGTCCAGTCCTGTACATGTGTAGTGACATCGAATCATTTACAGGGTAGTGTAATGACAAAGTGCAATGTCTGTCCAATCTAAGGATTTAAAGGTCGTAAAAACAGCGAAACCTATGGTATATCAAGTATCTCTCTCATTCCTCCCATTTCCTATACATTCATCCACTTTAGACATTACCCCCTCCTCCCTTGAAATAAAAAACTGCATTCTCATCTGATAGTTTATTTACACAATCATCCAATAACTGTGTAAAAGAACAATTTCTCATTTTGCAATGCATACAAGATGAACCGCTTCAGTCTTCAGTGCATCTTTTATACCTATTTTAAAGAATTTACTCCTTGTTATATTATGTGGAGAAGTCCTGTTAATGACAGATACAATATTGTTATCTTTTTGATCTCTTATTTACTCTCATCGCACTTGACCCATCAATGATTGATTAACTCGATTTAGGACAGCTCTCTCTCGGAATTCGTTACATTTTATTTGACTATTAAGTATCTCATTTGCTACCCAGATACTCAACGGACCTCATATAATGAATACCTTAACCTCGTTTCATCATTCATAAATTTGCATTCATCGCTTTCCATTGTGTGTGTGAAAAAAGAAGATATTTAGCATTAAATTTCTTTATCTCTCTTTCTCTGTCATATTTCATTTTATATTGGCCCATAATAACTGTTAACATTTTGTATACATGTACAACCATGTTTTTTGTAGGTTCCAATCGTGATAAAAAAATGTAATCAAACAAAGTACATGCATCTGTCTAAACCATACATGAATGCTCATCAATTCTCAATATAGCAATTAGGGGATATTTGGTTCTCCAATTTGTATAATTTTCAATTTAGATGTATTGAAATATAAACTATGTGCAATCCATTATCAATGTGTATTTGGTAATGTATGTCGATGTTATTATCTATTACTGATAAATCTAACCGTATGCATTTTTGCGTTGGACCCCTGCTTTTGACCTTGCCTTATACTAGTTCTATTGAATGCTTTCCCCATTCCAGGTATTCTTCTAGTGATGACAACCATCGTTTGTTGGACACCATACTTCATCATTCATTCTTGTTTCATACCAATCAATCCATCTCATTGGTTAGGCGTGGTTAGTATGTGGTTAGGTTATTCAAACTCGTTGCTCGATCCGCTCGTTTATTCGTTCATGAATCGACGCGTGCGCGCTAGATATCGCGCGCTGATTGGTTATCGCATTGACTGGAAGTCCTTACGCAGCCGATTGGCTAGTATCTTTCGGAGGGGCGGAGCACAGTGATAAACAAACGAGCATTAGGCATTTAAATACAAAAGATGTTGTATTGCCCTTTGCGACCGACCCCAAAATCTTGAAATCTACGGTCGGCTTTTTAAAAACCATTTCAAGCATTCAAAACTGAGAAATATCAGCCCAAAGAGGGAGTTTCAAAAAATAATAAAAAATTCCGACCGACCGACCCATGGTTTGGCACCTAAAGGGCAATACAACATTTTTAAATATTTTTGTTTAAGCCTTATGGAGCAGGACGGGACTGCTAGTGTGTTTCTCACATTATTTTCTTTGTGAATAATCATACTGGTAATCAACACCAGGCCTTTGTTTATTTTGATAACCTCTCTTGATGTTATGTATATTATCCAGATAATCCAATGTACTATTCAGACTTAATGACCCTTATTACCATTTGTAAAATATAAAATAAGACTTTGTCAACCCTCCTGTTTGATGTTTTCGAATAGTTATTTTATTCGACATTAAATTCTTTTGAAATGTGTAAAATTTGTTTTGTTTGTTATATATTTGTAAAAATGCAAAAGAAAAAGAAAATCTAAAAATAAAGAAAAAAAAAGAAGAAAAAAAATCAAATCAAATCAAATGTTAATACATGTATTTGCATTTTGTACCACGTTTTATAAGTATTCTCAGGTTTGAAAATCGTAAAAAATCTACTAGTTCTGTTAAGACAAAACAGTTTGAAAACGAATCTGAACTACAGAAAGTCGTTGTATGTTGTTGCGATTGTACATGTGTCAATATCAAAAGAAAAAGGAAATAGAATATCTAGTACGATTAGATAGCCGCGATTGAATGCAGATACAGGCATATGTAAATCATCGTTCCTTAGCTCTATGATATTTAACAAAGAATGATTCTATATTTGGACTGAAGAATACGAATATTGACTAAATGAATTCTGCTATTGTCTGATGACCCAATTCATAGAAGACCATTTGTATCCAAAACGCATTGAGACATGCTCGCGTGGTACATTAGGGTTCGATTAAGGGAAGAACTAGATCAATTATGCCATTAACTCGGCCATCACCAATGGTAAGTGTTATCATGATGGTTTCGAATTTAGGGCAATGGTCAATTTAGATCAAAGTTTGAGACATATATATAAAAAAAGAGATTATTTTCTCTACCACACTTTCAAGGATGTCAGACCTTTAGAGAATATCCGATGATAAATAAAATATCATTTCCGTTGATATCTTACAACACATTCAGTACTCTGTAGAATTAGAATTATTAATCATCTTCATTTATTGTAAATCAACAATCTAGAACTGAGTTGAATTTCCTTACAGCAATGCCTCATGTTTGTAATTGGTTTACATATTAAAACACCAAAACCGTCTTTAAGTGCTAACGAATAAATATGTTTGTTTTCTTTTTTAAGACCTTTGTTTTTTTCCTGTAGTAGTTTCGGTAAATGTTTTGCTAACTGTTTAATGTAAAATGAACCCTCAAACCACTGTCAATTTTTCAGACTTTCCATCTGCGAAATTTTACAGGGTCTGTTGTGAAATATGTATCAGTTTTCTGTTTGCATGTATACATATCAAATGGCACACGTAATTATGTTCCAATTAACAGTTCGTCCAAACTTCCGACCCCTGAGATGCGTTCCTATATCTTGCCCTATATCGCATTGTCTTAATCTAGATAGCAAATGATTAGAACATGAACGTAAGTCATATAATTGTCCATAGGAAACAGTGTCGGATTCAGGATTGCCTGATGGAAAGGGGAGGGGACACAAGTACGAAATGGCTGTGACAAGCAACAACAAAAAGAGGATCAAGTTTTTGGTATGCCGAATGGCTAGACAATTATTCTACTTTTCTTAAAGCTCTCCCCCCCCCCACCTTTTTTTGTTGGGTGGGGGGGGGGGTGAAAGACAAATGCCCACTGTGCCAACCCCCTCCCCCTCCCGGATCCGCTACTGGGATAGGAACGTATCCTGTAAAAAAATACAACTTTAGAATCTAGCATTCAAAATGTGTAATGTCATGACTTGATAAAGAATTACGTGGTTTACTGATAATCAGCATGCACAGTGACAGTTAAGAATATACTTATGATTATGTACATTTAACAATTAACGAATATTATAATGTGTGCCGTGTCTCTGGAAAAAGACCATGGCCCAGTGATGAATCTGAAAAGGGTAGGCTATCCTATTAAAATACAGGCTTGATTGGAAAAGAATAACAAATACAAACATTCTTTTTAATTAAAATAAGTTTAAAATACATGAGTTTTATATAATATATAGACTGATTTAAGCTCTTTGTCTCTTTGATATCCTCTGTAAATCATATAAATATTGTCAAGATAAGATTAAGTGGTTCAAGTTGTTTGTAAAACTATAAACATTGTCGACTTTGTATATAAACGTGTAAATATATAATAACTTGAATCCATCTTCGTATATTATGTTGCCTATTCGTCTCAATGTTGTTAATAGGAGTTGCATATACAAAAAGAATAAGTGTGTAAATTTCTGAAGAAAAAATTCTTTATGACGCAGGACTTTCCCTGACATACATGTGCCACAATTAAGGATTGGAAGATGCAATCCATAAGATAATATTCAGCTTGTCCATACATGTAAAAATATTCATAATAAGGATTTTATTCTGGATGAAATATTCCGAGTTTTGAAAGTCTTTTTTCTGAAGTATACATTTAAAACTAGTATGTGGCTTTATAACTTCCGCTTTATATCTAAATAAATTAACCCACGTACGTCTATTATCATGATTGTATTGATAACTTTTGATCAAAACAATTGACAACCTGTAAGCTTTCCAGAGATTTGCTCTATGTTGCCCCTTTTGGATCCTACCCATTTTATCGTTATAAAAAAACACAGGTAATTTAACCGAGAAGAAAATGATAAAATTCAGTAAAGTCATTAGTAAACTGTGCTAATAGAACAGTTCACAACTATATCAAAATGTAAATTATACATTCTTTTCCTGACATATTCGTTAAAGGTTTTTTCGACGTAGCAACTGATTTATAATTGTTCACAGATAACGCAATATTCTCATTATCTTTTTATATCTGCATCTCTTTCCCTTATTTCTCACATTATCTTTATACCTCTCTCTCTATCTCTCTTGCTCTCTCTCTCTCTCTGTGACCCTCCGCCTTTCTCCTCTCCCTTTAAAAAAAAATCTCTTCACCACCCTATTATCCATTCAAACGAAAGACATTTTTCATTTTCATTTTATGTCCTTCATTCGCTTAAAGCTTATCTGCCGTAGTTTACAGGAGGGATTAGACCGCTCTGCAAGGTCACTGGACAGGTGGTTATCTCATCAACTCAGCTCTCAGTTAACATAAGAAAAAGAGGATCATGGGGGACCAATGGTCACCGATTAGGCATTGTTTGTTATATAGAGGGCGCAAGTAGCTACCAGTAGTGCAGTGGGCCTTTAAAATTGAAACTACAAACATAAAGTCAAGGTATTTGCCCATGCGATGTTGTTTTGCCGATTATCTAAGCTTTTTTGTCACGTGTATATTACATACGTTATTTTAATATAGATATTATGACCACATATTTTCTGATTACCTTTTGGGGGCGAGTGGGTGATTTGGGTTAGGTGTAGAAAGTAAGCTTTACTGGAACAAAATAAGTTCAGTTCTCAAAAGACCGGTTCATAAATATCTTTAAATTAAATGTATTATTCTACAACACTGGACCCTGGAACTTGATAAATGTCTGCCAAATATGACACTAACTAATTTATCTAACTGCACTCTCACTGTTTAGATTTTAAAGCAGGTGGAAAATATATTATCTAGGTTCTCGGAGAAGAAGTGACTATGAATTCGAGTCCATTAGAGTAAGATATGTCCGTTTCCTTGAATCTGCATAATTATGTCTGCATCTCAAAACACTAAATCAAGAGCTCCGTTGAGATGAAATACATGGTACTATCATAAGTGTTTGACGATGGATAATGTTGAGACAAGGAGTACATGTCATCAGCCACAAAAGAGTTCTTTACGTTGCATGTATAAATATGTATATTAAGCTGCGAAACATTAAAAATAAAACACAATTCAAAGATATTGATATGTAAAAGATAAGTTTTACCTTTATTTTCTGATAAAATTCTCTGAATTTCTGGCTAAAACATTTGATGATATCTCATACCTTCGAAGAGAACATGCAATCCTATAAATTCTGTCTACAAACATATTTCATCTTTATTCCGAATAGTAGTCATAACATGAACAAGAAGTGTACACTTAAATCCAGGTCCATGGCACGGTGTAATAAAAAATACAAGAGTTTCATTGGCAGAGTTATCATCACTAAATGCCAAGTCTGTTATAGACATCGGCAATCAAGACCCTCACTTTCTGTCTATTATCTGCTATTCTTACAAAGCTGACTTCATTTTTGGTTGCGCATTTGTTGAGGCTTTACCTTCCCCTGCTTCTCTTTCCAGCAATATTTCCTGTTAAAATTATTTTATCTAGGTTATCCTTTCAGTATATGGGACCACCAAGAGGGGGGCACAAGACAAATACAAGGTGTACGGTACATTGAAACATTTTTTACAAATAGATGACATATTTTGTAAGCCCTAAGCGGTTATAAACTAATTGATTCTATGTATGCATTTTTAGACATTGTTAGCCAATTTAAGAACAAAAATATAAGAATCTTTATTATAAATAAGTAGATAACAACAATTGTAACTGCGACATTTCTGTGCTATGATTGAAAATATTTATATCCCACCACTCATTGATTTACAAGGGCATTATTCGTTGTTTTCATAACCTTATTAGTATCAGAAAAAATGTTAAGGTAACAATAAGTCACATTTTGATTTCAGTATCCAACCAAGTTGACATCATCAATAATATGTACCTCAGTGACCTTATCTGATTTGCACAATTTCATTGAAAACTATTTTGACAATACCATGCAAAACATACAATACATGGTAAGGACGAGAAATACAAATAATAATATAAATAATATGTCTTGTTTATCCAGCCTCATCAGTATCAATAATGTTCTCCTGCAATCATATTATTACCCCCAGCTTTCAATAGTTCATTGTTTTATTACGCAGGTAAAAACCAAGATTGCCAAGCTCATCCAAATAAACTTTTACTCTACTTTCATCAATTTTTAACAAAAATAAATTTACAATCTCATTACTCCAAAATATTGTTGTAAGTTCTATAAGTAGAAATGAAATATATTGTTTATATTGAAATTACTGAATATAAATGACAGACGTGGGCAAATAATACTTGGAACTTACTTGTAATGATCCGTTTTGTAGTTTTACTAAAGACTTGTAGAAGTCCATTTTATCAAGGAGACTGCACGATAATGATGAGTTATGTCATAAACTCTATTTCATATAACACTATTTTATGTACATAATATCATTCTATATCTTCATGACTCTTCTTAATCCTCTTGCTTAAAGAAACTTTCCACAATCCCATCTTATGCCAATTCGAATGGTTTTTCATGTTCTTTTCTTTGTTTTATGTGTATATGTTTTTATTAATTTTTCATTTTATTTGCCATTTTAATTTCCTTTCTCGTATTCCCAAAAAATACTTGGCCACACTGCATAGAATATGTACAATATGATTTATATATACAATCATTTTCATTATAATTCAATGTACATATTTACAATAAATAGTTTTTTGTTTTGTCAATGGGTTCTGTTCTGTGTATGAATTGAGAAAATCAATGTTTTTCCACACGATAATAACGCTGAGATTTGTGGACATGTACAATTCACAGTCATGTAACATTCAACTAGAATTTTTACATCTATGTTTGGATTGTAATGCTTACCCATTGTCTATTTACTAGCTCATTTCATTTCATTTCATTTATTTTCCACATTAAAAACCAGAAGAATATACAAGGTAAGAAAATACATTTTATACATTTGACACAGAGCAAATGAAAAACAGATACAAAAGCATAAAAGAACAATGAAAATCTACATCAGTTAACAAACATCAACATTAAAACATAAAGCGTAATGTAGATGGGGCTAGAAAAGCGAGGCTTATCGAGTCTAACCCCGGTAGCAATGAAGGGGAAGTCCACCCTGAAAATGTGTGTGGCCAAGTAAGGGCGGAGTAAAACCATCCTCAGGGTGGACTCTCCCTTCAAATGTCTGGTTTTATAATTAGATTAATTAAATCTTTAAATCTTCATTAAATCTTTCTACAGCATCTCCCCGACCCTCAACAACTCAACATACTACATCTATAAGATCCCTTGGTCTAATTTGATTTAGTATCTCATAAACTTCCTCCTCCTTCATTGAACAGATATGGCAGTAATATAGCAATACAAGTAGAAGTAGGATTAATGGAACATGAGTGCTACATGGATTACTTACTTTTCTTGTATTGTTATGTTGGCTCAAATAGAGTATGCCCAACAACTTTGTAACTGAGTTAGTTAATTAACATTGGTCATTGATAAACCATGTATCAAACTTAATACTATCATTACTGTTATTACTTATTTGACCTGCGTCTAAACAACATAAAGAACCATGACGCCGTGGGAAGAGATACTACATAACAAGAATGTGAAGAAGATGGGAGAAAAAGTCAAGGTGCACTAATAGTACCAGCTACTCTTGAAAGGACTAAAACAATTAAAGCATATTTATGATAACTTGATAATACATGAAAACACTGTTGTAATGTAACAACTGACAAAGACAGAGCATCTTTTTGTAGTGCGAGTCGATTCGGAAAACTAATTTCAAGATGTAACGAATTTGTACTTCAATTGCACAAACTGATCTACATGACTTCATGACATACAGTTTAGCGATTTTAAAGACTTTCAAAGATACTTTCAGTCTGCTTAAAGTTTCTTCTCTTATCACATCTTCAATTCAATTTATTCATGTTTCCAACGAAACATTACAAATCAATTATAAACATTTACAACAATTTAAGAATACATTTTGGAAACAGAGAAGTCCACTTAAAAGCAATGCTTGTACAATTTGGGGACCCATCAAAAGAAACTTTGGAATAATGAGTAATTAAATTTAAAAAATCCGGAACTACAAAAGGAACTACTATACAAAATAGGGAAAAAAGAACACTCAGGTCTATTTACACATTAAAAATGTCTTAAATAATTGTGTAGATTCCAGGGTAATGACAAAGCTACAGGAGGCATGGGGCACATGTACCCCCATAGACGATTCCTCAAAAAAAAAAACAGACCTTCTAAATAAGAAGCCTTGTAAATTCACAATTTATTTCCGAGTGAGAATGCCCCCCCCCCCCCCTCCTCTCGATAGATTAACTCACACTATGCCACAATGCCAGGGATGTCATTTAATCCAAAGCTACCCTCTTCGAATGGTACTTTATGGAAGACGAATGGCAATGAGCCCCAAGTCCTGTAGGTCTTGGTCGTGCTTGCTGTGTTTCTGAGTCTTAATGACTTGATGGAGAATGCAAGTAGTATCCGATTGCTGCACTTTAAAATGCTACCAAGCTTAGTGTGACATCCCTCACCCGCACATCTGTTAGACAAAAAGAGGTGAGTTGGAATTATTAAACTACATATCTAAAGATGAAATTACTGGTACCTTACATTACGGAAGTAATAAATAATAAACAAATAGGTAAACCATAGATACACAATGGACTATGATTTCGTTACATGATTTACATGAAATACCGATCCCAAGTATTAATTAGAGCCAGAGAAAACACCCCCAAATCCCTGCTACGTAGAGTCCACCCTGGACAATCTTTTAGATATTCCCTCCAAAAGAGAGTCATCATTTCAAGTCATCACACTTCCGTATCCCAGTATTGGTGAAAACGAGTAAACAGGGTCTTGGAAAAACCGCACTTGGACAGCAATGTGAAAACCCCTACTATGACCCCATGGTATAGAGATTGATTCTCACAATGCTACAGCAAAAGCACAAACCTGATTTCTTTATTTGCATGTTCAACGGATGACCAGTGTCCTGGATCTTGACCGTTTCCTCCTGAAGCCACAATCCTGATCTTGCTGAAGATCTGACGATGGATGACCACATGGTGACCACCAGGTACAATCCTGATATCAGCTGAATGGCAAACTAGAGCATCACAATCCTTACAATGGTAACTCTGGTTGCCCTCATCCAGTGGTTTGCGTTGCTGTTGTTGGTTGAAGATCTGTACATTGCGTTGTTGCTGATATACAGCAGTCTGTGAAAATAGATCAAAAGTAATTGCAGTACGTGTTTGTCAAGATGTCTGTACATTGGTTTAAAAAATGTTTATTATCAACAAGTTGTACATAAATTTGTTATCCTAAAACTTGTACTTTTGTCTTTCGCCTTTGATTATACAGTAAGATCAATCATTAAAGAAACAAAATTTGTAAAGTTAATTATAAGGATGTAAAATCAATTTTTTTTCTCACTCAATAGATACATTAATAGATGACAAATAGAGTATTCTTGATATACACTAGCATCAGAGAGGCTTCGGCCCGCATAAAATACTTACTGAATAAATTTAACCAGCAAATTACATATAGTATATTGTTGTTGATGTTTCTTTGTTGCAAATACATGTATATCCCTGCCATTGCATTAGTGTAATGAGAAACTTGATCAGGGTTTTCACAATCAACATTATAATTGCTTCGACTTACCCCACGTTTCATCTGCTCAATAGAAAGTGATGAAACTGCATCAGTAGCTCGTTGCATGATCTGTTCCTGTTCCTTACTAAGCTTATCTTTCACATCCAGTCCTCTGTAACCGTGAGTTACCAGATCAAAACGACCTCCTGGTTTACGCGTTCGACCTTCAAATGTAAGATTAAAAATGCAATATCAAAACAGGCATGAATCCATTGAGCACGATTATAGCAGTACATGTAGTAATAATTTCATAATACTAATTTATTCTTTCGTTAAAGAAGAAGTCCAATGTTGCATCAATTTTGCCCTAATGACAAGAGAACAATGAGAGAAACAGGTCAATGACAGTTTGAGGAAAATTTGATAAAGGATAACAAAATTATATACTTTTAGAAAATGTAGATCAATTAAAAAATAAATTTAGGAATTCTGTGATTTCTCTTGCAAGCAGCGTCCAATCATTTGTTCTTTCATCAGCGACCAAGAAGGGAGATACTTGTTATTTTTTATTTATTATTTATTTTTCTGGGTCATATACCAGGTACTATACATTTTATTCTTCCAATTGGTTTGGTAGCTATTATTATATTTGCAGTCTTGGATATTCAGTCTACAGAAGTGCATTTATCATTCTGTCAATACCATAACACAGAATTATTGCATGGATTTTTTTTTACAACAAGGAAAAACAAGAAATATACCTCTGGCTTGAATACGTGCAACAGCGTCACCGATGTAGTTGTACCTGTATACAAAGTTGCATGCTTGGACATCAATGCCTTGTTGAAGAACCGAGGTTGCTATGAGCAGCTTGTGTACACCGTTACGAAAGTAGTCCAGGACATTTGTCTGATGACGTAAGTTCATGCCTATTAAAAAAATGAAATTAATTTTATACTTTTCTGAGAATGAACATTCCAAATATTTCCATCTAATGCTACGTTTACACTATGTTCCCGGCGGCCACGGCAACCCCGTTTGCCCGTAACGTAGTGCGCCGTGGGATTTTGGCCATTTTTTCTCTGTATTCAAGTTTTGTTAGGTCTTGCCACATTTTCTCACGGTATATCACGGTTTCCGTGACGGGGCGTGGGAGGGGAAAAGGGATGCTGTCCCAAAGGCTCTAAGGTACACTACGGTTCGACCTTCGGTCTACCACGGATGTCAGTACGTTCCCTGCCGACCCACCACGTTCTAATTGGGTCCCTCATGTTTCTCACGTTCTGATCAAGGTCTAACGAGTTGTTTACGTTCTGTCAAGGCTTTCCACGAATGAAACGTGGATGCCGGGCAGTTTTGGAGCAAGTTTGTGCCCACGGTATAAAGATAAGAAGGCCTCCAATAGAAATAGCAATCATTGTATCCTCAGATTTCGACGAGATAACATAATGAATGCCCAAGATGAAGAAGATTTGTGTTTGCATGTTTGCTGAGTTCATACATCCAGTATTTGCGTCAGCAAGAAGAAGGCCAGACCACACGCGCAGTGTCAGAACATAGTAGAACGCAACGCGATGTAGCGCGCCGGGACCACAAACCGCCACACGCCGGAACGCGATGTGATTGAATGCGAAGAAACGGCTACCATACGCGTGGCAAAACGGGACAAAACTTAAAAGGACCGTAAGATGCCGGGGAATACAAAGGCTTCCCGTCCCACTACGGACCGCCTCCAAGTTTTTTTTACGGCCTATTAGCCTCATTGGTTTATCATCCGCAACGTGACAACTTTTTTGACAGTTTAAAAATCTGGCCCGGCATCCACGGCAATCACTGCCCGTCATGTTTGCCCATTCCGTCCCTCGCGTTGTCTCACGTCAATCCCGTTTCGTCCAAGGTTGCCTGAAACGTGGTTGCCGTGGCCACCGGGAACATAGTGTAAAAGGTTAAAATAGAATAGGCCCTGTGGCTACAGTCCTTGAGCTATTGATGATGAAATAGTTAAGAACAACTGCAATTCAGAACATGTTCAATCAATCTTCTTCTTCCTCCAATGAGCGTTGAAGATAAACCTCACCGAACGGCCCGGTGTAAATGCATTATAGAAAAAGAATGTAAGCTCTGTATATTATTCAATAAAGGATTGTTCAAAGATGCCTCGCAGCCAATGGTGTGGTAAATTTAAAATGCGTCTACATGTATCGCATGAAATATAACTATGATTTAAACTTCAGCATAAAACAGCTTAAAATTGATTAAATCGAATCATACTAAAAAAGAAAGAATGAGAAAGTTTGGACGAAGTTCTGATGAGTGTCATAGTGCCAAGTACAGGTATTGTTAATACAAAATTAGATTACAGCTTGGATTTAAAGGTCTCTAAGGAAGTTATGATTCTCAAATTAAATGGTAAATGATTCCAAAGACAAGGTACTGCAGATGAAAAGTCCCTTTCACCACAGGCTAATCGTGTCTTTGGGATCTTAAGAAGATGCTGGTGTGAATATCTTAGACTACGAGCTTGTGTATAAGGCATAACAAGGTTTTGTAAATAGTTTGGTGCTAATCCGTTTACTGCCTTCCATGGGAGAAGGTTTTTGAATTCTATGCGCTTACGGATTGGCAACCAGTGCAGCTTTTTGAGGAGAAATGTGACCATATTTAGATGTCTCTGATAAAAACCCTGGCAGCTGCATTCTGAGCATGTTGAAGTTTGTCAAGATTACGTAAAGTAAAATTGAAAATAAGAGCATTGCCAATATCTAATCGAGATAAAAACAAATGCACGTATAAGCATAGCAGCAGACTTATGGTCAAGGATTTTTCGAATGCTAAAAATAACAGCGAACATATACATCAAATCCTTAAAAATGTCACAAGAATCCAGTTCGATTGCCTAACTGAATTACAGCATCCCAAACTTAAAAAAAATCATTCCTATCAGTAAAACACTTTGTTATTAAAAAAATTGCATTTTGTGAAATTTACATTTAGTATAAAACAGTAAAGTTAGAAAAAATCATAGAAAGAATAGAAAAGCAATTCTTATTTACAATGTAATACTTTTACATGGATATAACCAAAACAACTATAAGGGGTTCATTATTCCACACAAATGATCATGGTAATAATTATATGTATGATGGAAAATAATATGCCTGACATATCTGGACCTGATAAAGTAGAAACAATTTCAACCAATACAAGGATAGGGAGAAAACGTATTGCAAATATGATTTATAAGGTAATGTAATTTTTTTTGTAGTTGAATATAAAGTAGATGTATTGAAAATAATAATTTTTGCTGCATTTTTTAATGCAATTTTTAAACGTGTATATTGGGTTGCTCTTTTCCCCATTTTTTCAGCATGGGCTTATTCATGGCAACCAGAAGCACATATTGCATGAATTTGAAGAATGACGTGGAGGGCAAGGATAGTAAATGATTGAGATAGAGACTGGGTACGACAAGGGTTTAGGAGAAGGGTGAGTTTGTAAAACGCTGTGGGCATCTGTTATTTCTACTTCTGTATGCATGCAGGAGACATTAAAGATAGCAGGATAATATCTTGCCCACTGCAAATGGCACACGATTCCTTTGATGAGGCAGGTAAGTATACACACCTGGGTTTCTACAGCCAACCAACACCTCTGGATTAAGATCTTTGAGGGAATCTGTCTCCATGACCCAACTCCTGAGAGCCGATGTAGATGTGATTGTCGGAGTGAAGAGGATAGCTCGGAATGAATCACCATTCTCATTGGTATGACATGTCACTATGTCTCTTTCTATCATGTTCTGAAGCTCAACCAGTGCTGGATTTAGTGATTTAGGACTCATTGAGATTCTCTCCAGTTCGTGTTGCTTGTCTGATTTGATTAAAGAAAATAGCAGAGTGAAGTTTTGTTATGGAAGCCTGGTGATATGGAGTAGGTCCGCGTTTTTCAACCTCTTTTAAAGGGATAGTTGAGTTCTTGTTTAAGACCGCAAATTCCTTCAAAGTGCATGGTTATTGCCCTTATTCTTATTCTTACATTTCTAGTGCCCTTTAAAGACCTAAAATTGCTATGAAGGTAAATTTTAGTCCCCAAATTTGTGAATTTAGATTAAATACGATCATACCAATTTAGCTCCACTTTCTAAATAAATATGATTACCATTGATTTATCACTTAATTAATAATCACGATACACGGGCCGGCTGGTATTATAACCAACTCGAAAAAGCCAACAGAAAGCCAACGTTGGCATTGGCTGGAATAAAACGGAAAAATGGCTATCTCGATTTTTCAACGGCTGGTTCAAAGTTGTCGAATATTTGTGGGGCCCCACAAATATTAGAATTGGTTAAATTTATTGACATTTCAGACGTTTCTGAACCGATTTGGATCAAACAAAGATGGCGTTGTCATTTAAATTTGCCACTCAGTTCTTCATTGTCTCACAACAAAATTATTTTGTGTAGCTTCCTCTGCAACAAAACTCAACTATCCCTTTAAGTCACAGCACCTTGTGAGAAATATAAGGTTTGTGTCGTCCCAATCCAAAATTCATTACAGAATATTTATTTTGCATCACTCTGGCAAGCGTAAAGTGCCATGAACATAAATACGGGGACATTTTTTTAAATAAATTGTGTGAGCTAGCGAGACGAGCGAGCCAAAAGGAATGCCATTTTTAAGGAATACATTTTTCAATTTGTAATCAACACAATTAAAAAAGATGTAGAATAACATATCCGGGCATTTCACAACCGAATATACATGAATTAAAAAAAAAAAATATTTCGTCACGTCGATACACTAATATGAGGATATTCAGGTGTCTCGTTGTGAGCGAGTAGAGCGAATAAGTGTGGTGTACATTTAATTTTGATTCAAAGGATATACAGGTACCTCGATCGCTACCCCAATATTGAGGTATTCAGGCACCTCGCTGTTTATAACCGTCCTGTTTCTAAATATTGTGCACAAGCGAGGAAAAAAGACAATTTACCATCTTTAAAATCCTATATCTACATGAAATGCCATAATAATAATAATATTCAGTTCTTGTATAGCGCATTTCCCTATCGCTATACATTTCCAGAGAGCTTTGAAAATGATTACTCTAGCTTTAATCTCTCCAAGTCGTTTTCAGTGCACTTCAAGGAATAATCCTACCTGGGTCCAAAATGTGGCATTTGTAGATTACTGGTTGCCACAGGAAATTATAGCGCCGTGGGACTCGAACCGCGGGCCTTGTGATCAACAGTCCGGTGACATATCCACTCGGCCACGACACTTCTACATACTCTAGCGGTTTCTGATATTTGGTTGTCATGTAATTGTAGCCCAAAATTATCTTTCTCATATAACTAAATTTCATTCGCGGCACCCCTAATGGTGTCTTGCAGCACCACGGTTGAAAAATGCTGGAGTAGGTTACAACATGAGTTATGTGGTAGTAAATCTCTAGAATCTTTCAAGAAGTATCTTCAAATGTATCTATTTACAATTGACATGTAGCTACCTACCATGCTATATTTATAATGAACCTTGTAAGTGTTTATGTATTAAATAAATTGTTCTGTAAAGCAATTTGAGTAGTTTTAAATTGGATATAGTACTATAAAAGAAACTAATATTATTATCATGATTAAGATAAATAAACAAAAAATATAAGACAAATATTTTTAGGCTTGGTTGGCGTATAACTGAACATATAATAAATGTATGAAACTAATTAATGAAAAGGTTACGCTTCATCTACTATCGAATTCAATTACACATGAATTCGTTGAATGAGAGCTCTCGGACATTCTATTAGAACAAAATGTAAGCTTACCTTGGAACGTTTGGATGAGCATTTTCTCTGTGTTCGTGGTGACAGCTTTATTGCTCTTTTCTCTGATGAACTCTTGGAGATATTGTAAAGCATCCTTGGTCCGAGCTGTTTCATGGAAGGCAAGAGTAGTGCTGTATTCCTAAAAAAATGTTTTTAAAAAAGCCTTCAACTTTCTCTCTTGACTGCATTGTAATTATGGGCTGCTTTAGATCAATTACTGCCATACGGAATATAATAATAATAATAATAATAATAATAATAATAATAATAATAATAATAATAGTATTAACATTTAAAAAGCACTTAAAGGTACGATGTCCCATTTGGACGCTAAAAAATGAAAAAGTTAAATATTTTAATATAAATTAGTACTTCCCTCAAAACAAAAGGTCTTGAAAGTGTGGGGAAATAACGACCATCAGTTGTCGAATCGACTTTAGTAATTGCAATCCATTTAGGAATAGTCCATTAACCAAATGGTTGTACGTTTTGTGCTGCCCAAAGATACAATCAGTTTAATTTTGGCCATTAAAAGAACTTGGTTATTGATGTACGCAAATGCTCATGTACCCTTTACAGCTCATTTTATGTATTTATTACCAAAGATTAAAAAAAGTCAGTCAGTCACTCAATCGAAAGTAAACGGGTTTCCTTTCATAATTTGAATATAAGTACACTGCTAACGTTCAAATTTCACAGATAGGATATACGTGACATATTCATAATTCCTGCAAATTTCTACAGAAATTGATTTTGGGCTGCAAATGGGACATAGTACCGTTAATACAGATGTTTCTAAGAGCTGTACTATCAAGACTTCGGCATTGGCCGAGCTTATGAATATATAAATAAAAATAAAAGCATTCAAAATGCAACATATGTGACAGCTTTAGATGCACTACAAGATAAACATTACGACATCATGACATGATATGAAACATTTCATATGCATCATTTTTAATATAAATAGAATTCTATTTCATCCGCTTAAAGGGCAGTATATAGAGGTCAATATAACATTGAAATTGTTAGCAATACTATGATATAGACTGAAAGCTATATGTCTTGCAAGACTAAAGTTTGGAAGCACAGATTGACATTGTTTCTTTTTAAATATATACAGTCAGAGCTGATTATTTCACAGATATTATAGACTGAAGGAGGTTTTCCCAGTCCGAAAGAATAAGCATGTCAGCGGTGGGATATAAACCAGTGTGCATGTAGAGGTACATGGTATTTTGCCATGAAGAAAAGTGTTCTGACTGTTTATTTCACAGACATTATAGACTAAAGGAGGTTTGCCATCAGTCCAGAGGATTAATGATGTCAGCAGTGGGATATAAACCAGGATGCATGTGAAGGTGCATGGTGTAATGACGTGTAGATACGTGTCCTGACTGGGGGTGAAAAGGTTCAAGGTTTAAGTCCCTGGATTTACTGTCCTTTGGTAAAACATTGACCTTTTATTTGTTACTTGAGTATGAGAACGGATTTTAAAATGTAAAACATTAACTTAAATTTGACATTCTCAAACCAATTGAGGTTATTGGAGAAGCGTGGGAAGAACATTCCCTTCGTGCGTCTAGTGTCTTTGAGAAGCTTACCAGTATCCATGCAAAGTAATATTTGTAGAAACTGGGAAGTTTGAATGTAGTGACTACCTTGAGATATTGTACACACGTCATAAGACTGAGCTGTAAATCTCTAAATTGAGAATTATCTGCTATCTCCTTCTGCAGCTTGCACAGAACATGGCTGAAGTTCTCTCTGGAATGGTTACTGCTTCGTAGACTGGAAAGCTTCTCAACCGTAGTGCTGAGAACGGAGCTTCCTGGAATAAAATGAATCAAATAAAGAAAACATTGACCTCTCTACCTATAAACAGCGAACAACTCTTCATCTAAAGCATCTTCATTGTGTCAACAGTAAGCCAGATCTTTGTATTTACCATTATCTAACTGAACTTGAACTGTCATCGATATGGAGGTTTTTGTTGAATCCTTGGAACAAAACGTGTGTAATACGTGTGTAATACGTTTCCAATATTCCCAGTGGTATGCACTGTGACGTTTCCAAATGTGTTTACCCCGCATTAATGCAGACAGTTGTCTAAATAATGATCGCGACCATCTTCATGTATCAGTGAATATTGTGCATCCACTAGAACAAATCAGACCCTTTACAGACTATGCATCACTAACAAGTGATTTTGAAGAGTATATTCTTGGACCTACCTGGGCTTGAGTTGATATACTTGAAGACCTGATACATAAGATCCTGTATTTCTTCTGCAAATGAATCCTTGGTTCTGCTTGTTACTACAACCAATCCTGATAATGAAATAGGTCTTTACATTATGACCGTGAAGACTTTAACAAAAATAACCTAAGATTATATATTTTAATTATGTATATCGTAAAAGGACCATAGTCTCTTCAATTAATGAGCTGTTCATGAAGCTTCACTACCACGTTGAACTTTAAACCCTCTCATATAATTACAAATTACAAACTAACCTTTAAAAATATGACCTTGATGGGATAGTTGAGTTCTTGTTGAACACTGCAAATGCCTTTAAAGTGCATGGGTTATTGCTATTATTCGTATTTATTACATTTCAAGTGTCCTTTTAGGACCTAAAATTGCTATAAAGGTAAATTTAAACCCCCAAATGTGTAAAATTGAAATTAACTACGATCATACCAATTCAGCTCCACTTTCCCAAAAATATGGTGAACGTTAATTAATTAATCAATTAATAATAACAGTACACAGGCCGGCTGGCTGTGCGTATTATAACTAACACGGAAAAGCCACACAAAAAAACCGACATTGGCACTGGCTAGAATACATCGTTTAAAGCGCTATCTCGTTTTTTCAACGGCAGGTTCAAAATTATCGAAGATTTGTGGGGGCCCACACATATTGGAAATGGTCAGTTTACGTATATTTCAGTCCTCTCTGACCGATTTTGATCAAACAAAGATGATTTTGTCATTTAAATTCTATGTTCTTTCAAATTTGACACTCAGTTTTTCATTATCTCACACAAAATTGTTATGTGTAGCGCCCTCTTCAACAAAGCCCAACAATCCCTTTAAGTTCTAATATAAATCCCTTTCACCATAGGCATTGTAAACTGCCAAGATTTTGATATACTGTAGTATCTTTTTCTGAAAAAAGAAATCCTGTGTTGCTGAATAAAATCAAAACAAGCTCTTGACTGATCTTGTAATATTGTTTGTACTATGATGGCCAATTAAAAGAGGAGCAATAAACAGAGGCTTGCAATATGACTGAAAAGATTTCCTATCATAAATTAGGTTAAGGGATTTGTCGTAGGGTCAGGTTACGGTTCAGTGTTATTTCCAAAGCTCACTCTCGCTGTAAATCTGCATTTATTATATTAACAATTAAACATTGAGAAATTTTTACTTGTGCAGATGTTTTATGATATATTTCATGTATCTATTATGTGTATCCATGTATCATACAGTCAGCTAATGAGGAGAGCCTTGTACTGAAAGTTGTTTTCTTTGGTGATCAGTAAGTAGGCATCAGTTGATGATTTCTTTTCTTCTGTTACTGTTCTTGTGTGGATGTGTGTGTGTGTATATGCGTGTGTGTGCGTGCGTGCGTGTGTGTGTGTTATTGTTTACTCCTTTATGTTCCTTGAAATTAAATATGGTCAAATAATCATTTTTTAAATCATTCTATGAGAAATATCATTTGACAAAACAAAGATGGAGAAGATATTTTCACCTTCCTCAGGCTTGTTGATAACCTTTTCCAAGCTCTCTTTATGTTTCTGAACAGTGGATAACTTCACTACATCCATGTTAGCACACATCTTGAGCATGTATTGAATGGCATTCTTGTCAGAATGTGCGTTACCTACTCCCAGAGATGCTGTCATGCCAAGAATCTAATACAGAATAATAAAATAATTACAATTAAGCATGATCTTATCTTAAGAAGTACATGAAATTTAATCAAAACAATACCACCATTTCCTGATATCGAAGCAACAATGCGATACTTCATTTAAACTCAGGATGGTAATTCACAGAGTTTGAAAAAGAATCACTTCCTTCAATGTACATTATTGTGAATATTTGAAGAAATATGAGGTAAATGAGAGCAATTCACAAATTTCATTTTCAAATACAGCACTGATATTACACACTTGAAATTTCTTTGACTTATCTGTGTCAGGAAAGAAATTTATTTGTTTAGCTCGCTGGTCTGGAGTGTTCTTCGTTAAGGTCAGGTGAAGATGTTAAGGTCAGATGTTTTCTTTTCAGGCCAAGATGTATTGTTCCCTTTGAATAGGCCTGGGGAAGTCATTAATTCAGTGTACATGTTTTATCTGTTGTTTGGCACACATTTAGGAAGCCTCTTTTCAATACAAGTATTTTCCTTTGTAAGATGATTTCCTCTCCAAATATTTGTAGTCATGTTTTTAGAAATCGCTTAGTAACCGTAGGGTATATTAAGAGGTGGATTTTCTGCAATCGGGGAGAACCACCTAAGCTATAATAGACTTAACGTCATGTTAGTCGGCAATTAAAGTCAATATCTGAGGGTAATTCCACGTCGGGACGAGAGGCTAGCTCAACTGCCACCCGGTTCTCCATAGCTTTCGTCGGGGGCTAGCTCTTGTCTGGGATCGGGACGCACACCATCGTATCTCAGTCTGCGGAGGTCAAGAATCCGGAGCGACTACCGGGGCCAAGTGGAGAAAAGACGCCGTCTGCGGAGGCCAGGACAAAGTGGACGACACGAGCTGTGACCGGCGTCGATGTCAGACGGGAAACTACCCATCCAGAATTATTTTTGTTAAAGATAAGTTTAATTACATACTGTATTATTACTGAAGCCAAAACAAAGTGTGTGAAACAGGAGAAATGATTGGAAATTAAACATTACAATTTAACTTTAATTAACAAGCTCTATTTCCCTTTATTCTGTGTATCCGTAGCAATAATAAAAATTTAAAAAAAAGTCTCTCACGTGACAATCTGCTGCATGATTAACTTAGCTGAGACATAACTTACTTGAGGAAGTGGTTTCTCATTTTTCATTTTTTGCTCCATGTACTTTGCCATGATCGCATTGTATTGACTCTTTTTCTGAAATGACAAAAATTATAACCATCATGCAATATAGAATGATACATGAATATTTAAGGGAATCATACTCAATGGCATCCTGTATATTAGAAAGTACATCTATACAAACATTTATTGCATATACTGTATATACAAACATTATATTGAAAAGATGACGTGATGGTCGTTTCTAACTATAGACCGATCTGAATACTGCCTAGCTTTTCTAAAGTTTTGGAACGAATTGTTTATAACAGGCTTTACAGCTTTTTTTTTTAGATATATGTGAATCATTGAATCCTGATCAGTTTGGGTTTCGGCGGTCTCATTCTTGCACTACTGAAATTTTATGATCGCGTTTCAAGTGCGATCGCTGCTCAAGAGCATGTCATTTGTGTATTTATGGATCTGAGCAAACCATTTGACACACTTGACCATTCAATTCTTCTTTCTAAGTTAGAGCATTGTGGAATAAGGGGCATAGCTTATGGCTTGCGAGTTACTTATCTATGAGAAGACAGTACACTTATTATACCTCTGTTACCTCTGACATTCTGTATCTTAAATGTGGTGTTCCGCAGGGATCTATCCTGGGCCCATTATTATTTCTTATTTATATTAATGATAGTTGTAATGTATCTTAAACTTTAAATTATACTTTATTTGCAGATGATACGAGTGTTTTCTTGTCTCATCGTGAAATCAACACTCTTGAACAGAAACTAAATTTGCAACTGCCAAAGTTGACTGTATGGTTTAGAAGTAATGTGCTCCCTCTCAATGTTCTTAAAACAAATTATATTCATTTTAGAGGTAGAAAATCTAATGACAACCTTGCTTTTGATATTAAACTAGATGATATTTCTTTAGAGAGAAAGACATGTACAATATTCCTTGGTGTCTATGTCAATGAAAAATTTGTCTGGAGCGACCATGTAAAACACATTGTTACACCAATCTACAGAAATACTGGCGTACTGTATATAATTAAATGTTTTGTTTCTGATATAATATTACTTATGCTATATATAATAGTATAATTTTACCACACATTTCTTATTGTAATATTTTGTGGGCAACATCCAAATGTGTGACTAATAGTATTCTTCTGCTGCAAAAGAAAGCTGTACGCATATGGACCCGAGCTGGTTATCGTGCCCATGCTACCCCACTATTTGTTACACTGAAATGCTTAAGGGTTGAGAATAATAACTTCCTCCAAATTGCTATATTTATGTTCCGTTTTAATATCAAATTATTACCTACGTCATTATCTTCAATGTTCCAACCTAATAACATGGTTCGTTCGTATTCAACAAGGCAGTCATCGAATTCACATGTGGTCAATCCTCACACTACATTAGCCCAGAAATCAATCAGACACAGACCTCCAGATGTATAGAATTATTTACCTAATGATATTCGAAATATAGAATCAACAAACTCCTTTAAAAGAGCACTCAAATGCATTATCATTTCACACATGTAAGATATTAATAACATTACAATCTCTATATCAGTTCTAATTAAATCAACATAATTTTGTTACTAGGCTTAACAAAATCCTTTTTTTTTCCTTTCTTGTTTTAACTTTGTAAAATAGTGTAAATAGTTCACTGCAAAACTTTAGGAATTTTATATGTCATAATTATATTATATATTTGAAAGGTGTTGTAACGATTCAACCTCTATTTGCTTATGTTTCATCACCTTTGTGTTCATTCTTCAAACTGTATATTAGTTGCAATTTGTCTTTGATAAAACATCTTATATTCTTCTTCACGTGAAGTATATTCAAATGGTTTGTAAAATTGAAACGATTTGTTATATTATATTCATTTTTCATGTGATGTTAACTTAAATGAATTGTGAAATTGTAAAGATGCATAAATAAATAAAGAAAGAAAGAAATTAACAGTGCGCATGCGCAGACATGGGCGCCATTTTAACTTGTTGGTAAACAAACCACTGACCTCTCGAGGTCAGTGGTTTACGCGTAAATTAAGACGGCGCCCATGCAAATATGACTTGAGCGCACAGCGCAGGCAGTGACGCAACAATACATGCGCATCTGAAAACATTCGGCGTGTTCCTATTAAAAGCCATTATCCGGTTAAAGGTAAAGACCAGTTATGGTCATGCGATTGCATTGTGAAAGAAACGTTGTGGAATCGATCAGAAAAGGTTGATCATCTAGCATCAAGCATCTGCAAAATGATAAGAAATTTGGCCCATTCTTCGTAAAGTTAGAAGCGCTATACACAGAAAGATGTATATGGGACTACCCTATATCTCTCACCGACCATGAGAGAAACAAATTTACCTAATATATGAATTAGCAGGCGGTTTCCCGGCAAATTTGTTATCATCATGTATTAGTCAAAACATATTCTTTCACATGATTGGTAATGAGAGCTTCCATTTCATTTTTTGAAATTGGGGCGTTTCCAATACTGGTCTTTACCTTTAATGGCCGATAAGGGATATATTTGTCCTAATACACTGTCGCTCATATAGTTGGAATATTTTTGTTTTACCCCAATTTATGGAATTATTTTGACAATGATTTATTTCTAATAGATATACTAGTAACCATTCTCAGATTTTATTGAATAATAATATGCCAGTGTTTGTTTTGCGTGAATGCTAAAGCATGTATATGTTACTATGTTTATCATCTAGGGGACCTACGCCCTTAAGTCATAAATGACAGTAATGAGGACTAATGCCCCACAAAAGGGCACTAATAAAGCACATCGACACGGTTTTGATCCTGGGGCCTCACAGTTACGAGGCCATTGCTTTGTCACTGAACCACGACTGTACGCAGCGGGGGTAGGGTAGGGGCAGTTTCCATAAATAAAAAAATAAAAATAAATTGCAATAAATTTTCAATAATTTATTGCATTTCATCCCGGTCCCCAACATAAACAAATTCTCTAGATGGCCATGCATTATGGCTCAAGGCATGGGCACACAGAGGATTTTTTTTTTATGTTGGGAACCGGGATAAAATGCAAAATATTATTTAATATTTATTGCATCATATTTACATGGGCGCTATCTTAATTTACGCGTAAACCACTGACTTCTAGAGGTAAGTAGTTTGTTTACCCACAAGTTAAAATGGCGCCCATAACCGTAAACTGGTGTATTTTTACTTTGCCCTACCGGAGTGCAAGGTATAATTACATACAAACACACACACACACTACACGTGTGACATGCCACATAACATTGGTTGCAGTGGTGCTATCACGATAGGCCTATTTACAGCATCAAGGTGTGTCAAATGGGGTATATCTAGGATATATACATTCAGGTTACGCTATATCTTGTTAATCTTCATGGTGGGAACATTTCATGTCATATGAGCCCCACGTGGCCAATCGCTTTACTGATTTTTTAAAACGTTAGATATAATAGATAATAGAATAGGTCATTAAATTAATCCATGTGTTAGAATACAACGTTACCTTAAGCTTTGCAATCAACCTGAAGATTGACTTTGACAAAAATCCACACATCACTATTTGCTTATAAATACAGAAGATAGTATGATTGCATATTAACTTATGAGGAAGAAAGGATTTCATTTGGAGTTCATAACAGGTGTCATTCTAAGAAAGTGTTATAAATTGTGTTTGCAAGATGAAAAATTACATTGGAAATATCAGGAACTTCCTAGATCTGCTAATAAAGCCGTTTATGCATAAACAAACTTTGTGGATTCCAAAATGTCAGTTTTGTGATTCATTACTTCTAGGGCATTAAACTTTTAGGAATCTGGACCACTCTTAGCATTTGTGACAGTTTCTACCACGTGGCAATCTTCTGATTTTATTCTTGTACTGTGCGTCCCAGAAAAAAAACGAAACAGGGAATTATCGATGTTTTATCATAACTTAATCACAATTATAATTTATAAAAGACACATATTTGTAAAGCTTAGATCCTCTTCCTTCATTTGATGTATCCAATATCATGTATCAGTATCATCTGTATTTCAAAGATCACATATGTAGAAAGTTCGTTTTCTGCTCTTTCATATGACACTTCAATCAGGAAAAATGAGCCGGGAATAACAAAGTGCTGTTTGTTAAAAGTTTGCTTGCATTTCCCTAATTTGATTAAACGAACTCGTTTTCACTTGATGCCTGCAGTAGCAACAAACAGAGTTGACAACAGACTTAATTCCGTTTCGTTGACGATCAGCCATGCACAAAGAAGAAGAGAGATGCATCATATGGGATGCATCAAATGAAAGAGGAGTATCTAAGTTTTACAAATATGTGTCATTTATGGATTATAATTGTGACTAAGTTATGATAAAACATCGATAGTTCTCGGTTTCCATTTTTTTCTGGGACGCACTGTATAATCACCTTTGTCTCATGGCACTCATCTAAGACGATAAGTCCTATTTGGTTGAATGACACCTGTCCCTTGGTCAAGGCATCTACAAGTATCTGTGCTGTTAGAACCACTACATCGTTCTCCTTCAAGACTTCATCCATAGGAAGGCGTGTTATTTCAGGCTGGCCATGATCCCCACATATATAGGCCACATCTTTGATGTATTTCTTGAACACTGTACTCTGCTGGTGTACAAGAGGTACCTGTTTCAAAACAATTTTAATTAATTAATATGCCAGTAATGATACATATCCGCTACTGTTCAAATATGTGTGGCTCAATCATATGCTGAACATAATATTATCCCATCTGTATCCAAACTCTAAATTCATATTACCACTATTACTATCATCATTTAGATAAAAACCTCTGTTCGTTACACAGTATTGGGTATTCATGCAAGCAATGATTGAAATTACAGAAAGAAAAAAATGCTGATCTCTAAACACATCCCCCACCCCTCCTGGAGATGGATGGTAGGATTCAACAAATCATATTCCCAGGAAACACAACCGATGAAAACAAATTAAAATTCTGCTCCTCCCCCCACCCCTAATGTACCCAAAACTGTGTCTTCATGTTAAGTTTAAGAGTCAGAGGGGGGGGGGGGGGGGGGTAGAGACAAAATATTTTCCCCACTTTTACATACACAAGAGAAATGTCTTTTTCAATAAACCGGTTTTGATGTATATGTAGGAGGAATGACAGCTCATTGATCTGATTACCTGGTTTACAACAAAGATAACCTTTTTCCCTGGTGATTTCCTGAGGACCTCCTGAGCTACAGCCACAGCTACATACGTCTTCCCTGAACCAGTAGGAGCTACTACACATGTATTATGGCCTTGAAGGGCAGGCTCGGCCAGTTCTTCTTGATAGATTTTAAGTTTCAAGGTTTCCATGTCATCAATAGATTTAACTGGGAGCCTATCAGCACCAGGTGCTCCTATCATTGGTTGCCTGACGGCTTCTGCTTCGTTAAGCCATCCTGTAACACGTCCAGGATCTAAAACATAAGATTGGGATAGTTATCTTTCATGATGAAATTGATTATAAATACCAGTTATACATTTATCGAACTTACAATAATACCAATTTCGTAGCACTACTAGGAAGATCCCTAAATGTAAATGTAAATCACATTATCATAACCTTTAAAATTTGATCGACTGCAATCATTCGAAATTGAAAAATGATGGGTTAAAAGAACAATAATAACAGTAATAATAATGATAATAATGATCATCATCATCATCAACATCATATTAATGAAAATGAAGATAATGATAAAAATAATAATAACGAATGCTAAATTAAAAGAAAGTATCTCTCAGATTTCTAACCTGATGTAGGCTTGACACTCAGTTGACGAAGACCATGTGTTAAACCAGTACTCCTTGACTCACTGGGCTCTGGATTCAAATAGAATGAAGCATGTTGAAAAATATCATTGTAAAATGAAAGTTCAAGAGAGCACCTAGTGATGATGATAAGTCCAATGTAAGCATCTTTCATACATCTTTCAGAAAATCTGAATGTCGTTTGAACAATGGACGTGATTCCTTTTTAAATATTTACATTACTTACTTTATTTATTCCTAAAGCAATGAGAAGGAAAGTATTGATGACAACCATAACAACACAATGTTGTGTAAAAGGATGCAAAACGCTGGCAATATCTACATGTTTGTCAATAAATCGAAATTATGATAGATTTTGGGAGGGTTTACAAAACGGATCACAAGAGATTCTATCTCTCAACAGAATTCAATATTTCCTTCAACATGGATAACTACTGATTATTTCATGATTGTTCTGAAGAAACAATCACAATTCACAAATCACACAGTCTGAACACTATTCCAATTTATTCAAGAAGAAGAAGAATCATGATTTTGACAATAACTTGTGTACATTTTTCTTTAAAGAAAGTACATAGAATGTGATTTACTTTCTGATCCTGATCCTGATTCATCAAATTTGCTGTCTTTCTTGACCGACATGGAGTAATCAGAGTGTGACATGGCTGATGTAACCATGCTGTCTTCATCAGTTACATCACTCTGGAAGTCCATGTTCTTTGTAATGCTTGCTGAACTCTCTGAAGGTGTACAGACCTCTACTGTCCTTAGAAGACTCCTCTTGTCAAAGTCAGCATCATCTGAACGAAAATTCAAGAAGGAAGAAAACGATACTCCTTTCAAAAGATCAAGTCTAAATTAAATGGTCTACATGACTTACAAATGTGGTGGCATGGCCCTACAATACAAAGACTTGCAGAAGGAAATGAATTGTAAAACTTCTAAAAAATCTAAAAACACATCTAATAACAACCGTTGTCCCTTAAATATCTTTTGTTTTGCTTAATTGTAAGCATTTTCAGAGTAAGTTTATTATTACATTTAATCTATTTAAACTAAACGCCTTGAGCACCATCTGGTGGTAATGTTACGCATTATAAATGTCTGCATTATCACGATTATTGTTATTACTATTAGAGACAGAAAAACGCAGGAACACAAAGCTTATATAGACTTCCACAGAACCCCCTCCTGATTTGCTCCTGAATAATTGAATGAGAGAATTACATAAGAAATTCATACTTCAGTGGACCCCTATGTAGTAATCATTGACCTAAATGAAACAAAATTGAAATGCGCCTATAAGCCCTAGAGCAGGCCTTCTCATCTAGTTTATTATAAGTGCCAAAACGAAAAGATTTTGTAGTTGAAGTGCCACCCTGTATGGTTGACTGTGCTGCGAGGGAGCGTAGCGACCGAGCCGAAAATGGTTGGGGTCCAGGGGCGAAGCCCTAACGGGGGGGGGTAGCAGGGGGCAGAGCCCCCTGAAGCTGGTGGAATTAGGGCTTTCTAAAGGCCCAAATGGGGCATTTTTAGCACCATTTCGTTCCACAATATAATCAATCATATTCTCATATTGATGTGAAAAAATTAGTACAATTCCTGGGTACAATTGCACTGGAGGTATATTTATATGTAGTTTTTTGTGTGCAATAAACACGGGAAATGTCAAAATAAAGTGAAAATCAAACAAACAAAAACAACATGTTTCCAGAGATTGGCAATGTTAAAATTGGTATCCCATCGTAAGCTAATTGTTGATCAGACCTCAGGTTTAGATTCATAAAAAATGGTAAAAAACGATAAATTTCCCTTTCCTTCTGTTTGTTAAGCAGGCATTTTGGGCTCAAATTCGACTGCAATTTCTTGATTTAGCTGAGTATTAAAATCTAAAATATATATTTTCTTTCTTTCTGATTTTTGTTTTGTTGTTGCAACAGTCACGCGCCACTCCGACTGATCGCAAGCGCCACCAGTTGAGAAGGCCTGCCCTAGAGTAATCAACGTTGCTATGAAATATAAAACTTAATTCTTGTTCGGATCCCGGACATGTCAACTTAGTGTTGTTTAGGGTACGTATATGCGTGTTCCCAGCGACCCCCTTTTCAGCAAAAGTCCGCTGTGTAAAGTCAATACGGGTCGACCTTTTTCTTTTGTTACGAGCCGGAGAGTTTGGGCACACGCATGCTATCCCTCCGTACACGGAGTGGGGGTGGGGGGGGGGGGGGTTCGGATATGATGTGCCAAGCCATGGACCTACTACAAATGGACACTGATCGGTACTATAATACATGCATGCACCTGATTCTGTCAAAAGTATCATAATGACATTCCAAACATGCTTCCAAGCTTTGATCTCATCACGACCGCCGCCAGTCAGCCATAAAAAAACAGAACTGTGCCTGGATCTGTACAAAATGCCTGCGCAAAAGAAACTGAATCTCTTAAAATCACGGAAATGCATGTGCAGTCAGGGGCGGCCGAGCGACTTTCAAAGTGGGGGGGGGGGGACACCAACAAAAAAGGGCAATTTCTGGAAAAAAGGGCACATACAGTGGGAAATCTCAAAGCGAAAATATACAATTTTTAGACATTGGTATATACCCCTACATTGTGATTACATTATCAGGGATGATTTCAATATTTGTTTCTCTTCATACATCATACAAGATATCGCTTAAGCATCAAACTTTGTCTGAATATGCATTTACGAGCAAGCGAAGCGAGCGAGAAAATTTTTAAAGATCTGTGAGGTCGCAGTGCGAAAAATTACATCTTATAAAGAGGAAAAAAGCCAATCGTGATGGGGTTATAAGCACATTCTCATAACGGAAGACTGAAAAGACCTTTGATAAGTAACATAATTATATAATCCTTAAACGCGAGCGAGCGCAGAACGAACTTTGGGGGAAGCTGCTCTTAGTCGCTTTAAATAAGGGGCACGTTTAATGATTACATGAAAAGGGGACAATTATCGAAAGGGATAAGACACTTATTAGAAAAGAAAAGGAGCACGTGTATAAGTACAAAGGATAATTATCAGAGGTGAAAATGAGGCATTTTTTCACTTGAAAAGAGGCACTCACCAGTGATGAAAAGGAGGCGTTTACGAAAATGGGAAATAGGCATTTGTTGACGGAAAAGGGGCACCCATCAGATTTTAATAGGGTCATTTATAAGAGGTGAAAAGGGGATAGGTCCCTTATTAGAAAGGAAAAGGGGCACGTATCATTATTAAAAGGGGAATTATCAGAGTTGCAAAGGGGCACTGACCAGATATGAAAAGGGGCACTTATGAAAATGTAAAAGGGGCACTTATAATAAAGGAAAATGTGCATTTGTTGAATGAAAAGGGGGCACCGTTCAGATGTTTAAAAGGGGCAGTTATGAGAAGGGGAAGGGGAAGTTATGAGAAGGGGAAGGAGCTCTCTCTTTTTAATGGGGGCACTTATCATAAGGAAAAGGGGCACTTATTAGAAAGGGAAGGGGAAGTTATGAGAAGGGGAAGGAGCTCTCTCTTTTTAATGGGGGCACTTATCATAAGGAAAAGGGGCACTTATTAGAAAATAAGAGGGGCACATGTTAAAATGAAAGGTGCGCTCATCCGAGTTTAAAAAAGGGGTAGTTATTAAAAGGAGAAGGGGCACTTCTTACAAAGGAAAAAAGGGGAAGTTGTCAAAGTAAAAAGAGCACCTCTCAGTTTTGAATAGGGCAATCATCAGAGGTGAAGGGGGCACTTATTAAAAGTGAAAAGGGGCACTTCTCGTACCTGAAAAGAGGCACCTAATAAAGATTAAAAAGGGCACTTATTCAAGATAATTTCAAGATTCATGAGAATGGAAAATGAACATTTATTGCAAAGGAAAATGGGAACATGTCGAAGGAAAAGTGGCACGTGTCAAAAATAAAAAGGGCACTCGTCAGAGGTGAAAAGGGGAAAGGGGCACTTTTACTAAGTAATAGGGGCACTTGTCAAAGTAAAAGGGGCACCTTTCCTATGTAAAAGGGGCACTTCTTACAAAATAAAAGGGGCCCTTTTCCTATGTAAAAAGGGGCATTTTGGGGGTATCTGAAAAAGTGGGGGGCACTGTGCCCTCTCCCCTGCCCCCCCCCCCCCGAGAGGGCCGCCTCTGTGTGCAGTTGTGGCGTATTTTGGATACTGACATATATGAAGTTTTCAACATGAAATTAGAAGTAGTTTACAAGAGAAACCTGTAAATTTGGCTGTGGTGGTGGTCATGATGCCCGCCCCCCCCCCCCCCCCACTCCGAGAATGGACGGACCCCATGCGTGTTGCCAAAATGTCCTTTTCGTAACAAAAGAAAAAGGTCGACCCGTATTGACTTTACACACCGGACTTTTACTGAAAAGGGTGGGGGGGGGGGTGCTGAAAAAGGCTCGTATACAAAAGAAAAAAATCGAGCCGTATTGACTTTACACACCGGACTTTTGCTGAAAAGGGGGGGGGGTCGGTTGGAACACGCATATGCGTACCCTAAATAACACTGAGTGGGGGGGGGGGCGGGTCATGATGTGATCAAAGAAAGACTCTCATGATTAGTCCATCTGTAGTAGGGTCCATGGTCAAACTGCCGTCACATTTTTCTTACGTGTAAAATGAATGGCGACGGCATGCTACAAAGCTCCTGCGCATGTTTACTGAACACTGCATGTAATAAGATACAGACATTAGAAGTGTAACACACTTTATCATAAATTGAGCAGTTTTGATGCATTATTTCTGAGCAAGGCTTTAGTATCATCCAATTTGCAAATCATTTCTGATTTAAAATTTGCTGATATAGAATTAATTCTTGGATTAACAATAGGTTCGAATGTTATATACATTTCACATATGCTTTTCAATAAAAGACTTACTATGTTTGACAACATACATTCTTATTATTCACCTGTAACTAGCATGTTAGCAGCCTTGTGACCGAGTTCCTTTAAGATTGTATGAAGCTTGGATCTCACATCTGTCCCTGGTCGTTGATTATCTCTCCATTGCTGAAGGGTCATTAAAGTTGCACTGTATACATCACCACTGCACTCTTTCAAAGACTTTCTCAACACAGGTATAAGAAAGTTCAGATTCACTCCAAGCTTGAAGAAATCTTTTTTCTGAGTGATCTCTCCAGCAAGCGAGAGAAGTTCATAATCGGATGGAATACTTTTAGTTCTATTTGCCATGGTGTTAAATCTGAAAACGCAAATACAATGGAATTCTACTGCTTTAATACCACACCAACGAGACATAATAATCTCCAATTTCTCCTCATTTCAATCCTCAAAACTTGGTGCATTGGTGCTGAATAATTACAATAGTACTTTTGAATAGTGTCAAACACGTTGAACACCTACATCGACTCAACCACCCTTTCTCACACTAAAGGCCCAGTGTTACAGGGAATCCCCAAAACACATATTCCTCATAACATTATTTCTAGAAAGTATCTGACATGGATGTTCATTAGACATTTCTCTCTTTTCCTGATGGGTTGTAGGCCCTACTGTTTATTTGATAAAGAGATCACTGGTTAACCTGTTTATTCATCTTCTCATCATCATTATCATCATCACCATTACTAATATCATATTATTATTATTATTATTATTATTATTACTTTCATCAGTTTTATCAATATTACTATTATTAATATCATTATTATATTTATTATCATCAGTATTATCATCAGTATTATCATCAATATTATCACCATCTTTATCAGTATTCTTTTCTTCTTATTATTATTATTATTATTATTATCATTATTATCATCGTTATCATCAATATTCTTGTTATCAGTATGATTATTATCATCTTAACTTTTTGAGCAAACAGTGCCCCAATTAGAGATGTCATATCAAATAAATTCACTTCTATTTTCCTTCTACAATTGGTATCTGGAATCAACAGGTAAATAAGAAATTGCCCCCAAACTGCATCATATCAAAGTACTCAGTAGTCGCCATGAACTATTTATGCACACTGCCACACTTATCATGATTATGCAATTTATTACAAAAGTGTGTACGGGCAATTCTACCCCGGAATTCTACATGAAAATAAACAATTAGAAATGTTCTGTTAAACGTAGATTCATTATGAAAAAATTGATAGATTGCTTACTATCAAGTCCGGTTGTAACGTAGACCTGGTACTCTCCAGGAACCTTCATCAGCATACGACTGTCTATGGTTTGACAGCATACGACTGTCTATGGTTTGACAGCATACGGCGAAAGATCAAGAATGATAGACGTGACGTTCTGTTTGGGTTCGATCGAAGCATCCTTAAATGCACACAATGTAAGTTCGTCGCCCGAACAATGGGGATTCCCCGGCCTGGAATTCCCCACAGCCAGTTCGAGCAGTCTTTTTGTGTGACGTCTGTGTGACGTCAGTCATGGATAGGTTAATAGAATAAATAGTCTAATGTTGTAAACTTTTGCACTATTTCAGTTCGTTATCAACACAAACGCAAATATAAATACACATAAACATGCATATATATATATATATATATATATATATATATATATATAAATATATGTACATGTTTAGAAGGAAGTCTTGATTTCTGCTCGGAGTTCGAGAAATTACCCCAAAATACAAGAAATAATTTTGCTCCGTAGGCCTACATAAAGATTTAGTTTTACAAATTTTCGCCCTTAAAATCAAATATCATACTTAGTATTTGAGTTAGTTGCCGCTATTACGTAAACACAGCACACCTTTTTGTTATTCAAAAGATTTTAGCATATGCCCAATATTTCAGAGATTTTTTGTTTAATTGTATCGAACACCCTTTAATCGGAGGGCGTCCCTTTTGACGAAAAATTGTATTTTATGGATGATTTTTTTAAAAGGAAACATTGAACCACCATGAGTTTTGTGACATTTAAAGATAAAAGAATGTATCTACATTTTGATACCCATTTCCATGGAATAAGGATTAATTGACACCTCAATTTTAAGTGAAACCACTAATCACCATAGATTTGGTGTCAAATGATTGATAATTAAAATACCTTCAAGTTGATATTGGTTCATTGAGTTATGTGTGAAATATAAATTTTGAGCCGAAAAGGTGATTTAAAAAAAAAAAATTTTTGTTTGTTTGTTTGTTTGTTGTTTTTTTTTTTTTGGGGGGGGGGTCGATATTTTTTCCCCTCTAATTTTGGCCGTTATCTCGGTATATTATATGGTCAATGGGGATGGGATATTTATTACTGCAGAAAGTTCAAAGGATTGGGAGTGCTGAGCGCAATCGATAAGTACTTCTTTTGTACTCTGTGATGTTTTAGGAAATGTGGGCTTTAGCAGTTGCCCCCCCCCCCCCAACAAAACAAAAAAACCTGGCCCTTCCAGCCGCTTTTAATAATCGTGCATGACCAAGACAATGTTGTGCATTAACATGAATGAAAGACAGTGAATTATTTTGCTGCGGCGGCCGTGCGGTCTAAAATATCTACGACTAATAATAGCAATAATAGGGCCGCCGCAGCATTCCAGCGGTCACATACGGTAGCGGTCACATAATTATGTTATGCCTGGATTACATTTGGCCCAGGCGCCGCACGATAAATTGGCCTACGATTTTTCGTGCGATTTGGGGGGCATCGTAGGAGGCTACGGGCTACGATGTTTGTGTTTACATTATCTACGAGCATCGTGCCATTTCTTGTATTAGCCCTCGGGGGCAGACCGGGACACATCCGTACAGAGGCTGCTCGGAGATTGTACGGAAATCGTGTAATTTCAGTGCAACACCCGTGCAGTCTCTGCAACCTCCGCACGGAAATAGTACGGAGCTCGTGCAGCTTCCGTGCAGAGGTTGCGCGGAGAAGGCGCGGTGACCGTGCAACCTCTGTGCCGTTTTTTCGGCGTCTGTTGCCCCCATTTTCACTGAAAATCATGCGTTTGCTGCACGATCAGCGTGAGGCCTCCACGCAATGCCCGTGCGGGGATTGTACAATGCCACCTACGGGCTACGGGCTTACGATTTTTCAAATTTGTTTAACTCCCCGCGAATCATAGTCGCCGCGGAGCCCGTGAATCCGTACGAAAGTCTATGGCCGCCTCCTGCCTCCCCACGGAGGCCGCACGGAAAAGGGGATACGGGCAGGATACGGGCCCCTAGACTAATCGCAAGCGAAATGTAATCCAGGCATTAGGGTAGTCGCATGGCGTATTTTGATTTATGCAGCTGAGGTACAGTCTTTGAAGTGATGACGCACGGTCGCCTCAGGGCCGTAAGTCTTTGACAAATACTCAGGCAGACACAAGGTAGCCGCAAAGTAGCAGCGAGGTGCCCGCAAGGTTTCATATCTGCATCTCTTTCCCTTATTTCTCACATTCTCTTCCCCCCCCCCCCCTCTCTCTCTCTTTCTCTATCTCTGACCCTCCGCCTTTCTCCTCTCCCTTAAATAAATCTCTTCACCACCCTTCATATCCATTCAATCGACAGACATTTTTCTATTTCATTTTATGTCCTTCATTCGCTTAAAATTGAAACCACAAACATAAAGTCAAGGTATTTGCCCTTGCGATGTTGTTTTGCCGATTATCTTAGCTTTTTGTCAATTGTATATTCCATATGTTTTTTAATAAATATTACGACCACATATTTTCTGATTACTTTTTTTTCGGGGGGGGGGGAGGGGAGTGGGTGATTTGGTGGAGAAACTAAACTTTATTGGAACAAAATAAGTTTAGTTCTCAATAGACCGGTCCATAAATGTCTATAAATTAAATGTATTATTCTACAACACTAATGGCGACCCCGGAACTTAATAAATGCCTGCCCAATATAACATTAACTAATAACTAAAACTAATAGGCTCTCGGAGAAGAAGTGACCATTATTTAGATTATTGTGTCCATTTCCTTGAATCTGCATCGTTATGTCTGCATCTCAAAACACTAATCAAGAGCTCCATTGAGATGCAATAAATAGTATTATCATAAGTGTTTAACGATGGATAATCTGAATTTGGGACAAGAAGTACATGTCATTAGCCACAAAAGAGTTCTTTACGTTGCATATATAGATATGTATAATGAGCCGTGAAACATTGAATAAAACACAATTCAAAGATATTGATATGTAAAAGATAAGTTTTACCTTTATTTTCTGATAAAATCCTCTGAATTTCTGAACTTCTAAACTTCTACTATCCAAACATTTTTTTTTAAAACGTTTTAGCCCTCCATAGGCTATTTTATTGAGTCAAACAAACATTTTTACAATTCAATGAAATTAAGTCTTTCCTTAACTCAAACAAAACAGAATACTTTCACATTTCTCTCCTTGTTGTTCATACAAACAAATGTTGAAGTGCCTGCCATTTAGTAAAAAATTTGTTATGCATACTAGATATAAAATGGATATATCTCTCGTCTTCATAATATTGAATAATTTTCTTCTTCAAAGAACTAAAATTTGGAATTTTGTTATTAAGCTTTTGAACAAATAGTTGATGCTTAATCAAAGTCACCATGCAATTTAAAACATCGTTTCTTTTGTCTTCAAAACCCAAAATTACATTTTCTAAATTAAACTCTATCTGTAATCGAGAACCTTCATTTATCCATTTCACCGTTTCATTCCAGATTGATTTACTGATTTCACAATTGTAAAAGAAATGTACAATATCTTCCAACTCTTTTTTACAAAACGAACATTTATCGTTACTCGCTATTTTCATCTTATACAGTTGCTTGTTCAAATACAGAATCCTATTTACTATCTTAAACTGAAAATATCTTAAACCAATATCTGGAGTAAAACGAAATATCATTCTATGATATATCTGCATTCTTATACATTCAGGGGTATAATCTAAATGTCGTTCCCATTTCATACATATTGAGTTAACTCAATTTGTTTTTCCAAGAAAAGTTTTGTAAATATATTGACAACCTTTTATGTCATGTACTAATATTTTGATATGTGACGGCATTAGAGGATCTACTACATTTTTTTCACATTTTTCAATATGCATTTGATATCGACACTTTATAGCTTGAGTTACAGAATAATAAGACAAATAATTTAGTTTCAAGCAGAATTGTTTTTCGCATTGCTCACGAGTCAGAAGTTTTCCCTTATCATCAATCAAATCATTTATACATCTGATGCCTTTTTCATACCAAGATTTAAAAAATACAGATTTTTGTCCAATTTTTATTGAGCTATTTCTCCACAACGGATAAGTTAACCAATCATCTCCCTCTGTACGACTCAACATAGACAGAGCGTGAAACACACGTCTCCAAAAAGGATTAGCAACTTCATGAGACAATGCCGAAAAATATTCATCACCAAACCCTACTACAAATGGTTTTGTTAAAAACGATTGCATTAAATGACTAACATCCTTACATGTTCCTAAAACCATTCTTCGAAGCCATGTTAACTTTAGTGACATATTAAAAAACTCAATATCTGGCATTTTAAGTCCCCCTTCTTCATATGTACCAACAACCTGTTTCCTACTGATTTTATCTGGCTTATTCTTCCATATAAAGTTAAAGAATTTAACTTTTATGGTTTTCATTAACTTAGCTGAAGGATCTTGGATTACCATAAAAAGATGATTAAACTGTGGTATTACAGTAATGATTTAGCAACTGTAACTCTTCCAAGAACCGTAATGTTCCTTTTGATCCAAGAAATCATCTGGCGTTTTACTTTGTCAAATATTCTATCATAGTTATAATCTGGTATTTTGTCAATAACAACATGAAAGTCAGCACCAAGATAACGAAAAAAATCATTATGTACAAAATTCACTTGTCTTCCTTCTAATTCTATATCTTCATTACATTTTGAGGCCCCAATCCAAATTGCGTTTGTTTTTTGGATATTGATCTTCAGCCCACTACAGTTTCCAAATAGGTCCAAAATGTGTAGTGCATTACAGAAACTAGCAGCTGTGCCATCAAGAAACAATATTGTGTCATCTGCATACTGAAGGATTATAAATTCCTTTGAACCGACAGAAATTCCTTTCACAGAGTGTGAATTTCGAATTAACATCCCAAGAATTTCGGCGCACAACAAAAACAAGTATGGAGAATCCAAACATACTTCTAGTCTACTTTAATCAATTTACAATCTAAATACTGCAAAATATTTTTGTCCGTTTTAAAAGTTCAAATGAAACATATTGTTAATATTACAATTACTGAATATAAGTGACAGTAGTGGGCAAATAGTACTTGAAATTTACTTGCAATGATCCGTTTTGTACTTTTATTCAAGACTTGTAGAAATTCACTTTATCAAGGAGACTGATTATGGTAATTTATGCCATTATATCTATTTTATATAACAGTATTTTGTGTAAAATATCAGTCGATATCTTCATGACTCTTCTAATAAAATCCTCTTGCTTAAAGAAACTTTCCAGGCAAATTCTAATGTTTTTTCATGTTTTTTTTTTTGTATATGTGTATATTTGTGTGTATTTTTAAATATTTATTTCACTTCTACGATGTACTATGATTTTTTTCATTTATTTACCACTTTGATATCCTTTTCCATATTGCTAAAAGAAAATGGCCACAGTAAATAGAATATGATTGCTATAAAATATAATTTTCAATATAATACATTGTACATATATACAAATAATTGTTTGATTTTTTATTTTCCATGGGTTCTATTCTGTGTATGAATTTATAACATCAATGTCTTTCCACATAATGATAATGCTGAGATTTGTGGACATGTACATTCACATTCCTGTAACATCTCAACTAGAAATCATTACATCTATGTTTAAATCTTTTTACAACATCTCCCCAAACCTCAACAACTCAACATACTTCATTTATAAGATCCCTCAGTCTAATTTGATTTAGTATCTCATAAACTTCCTCCTCCTTTATTGAACAGTTATGGCAGCAATACAAGTAGGATTAATGGAACATGTTTGCTACGTGGATTAATCACTTTTCTTGTAATATTATGTTGGCTCATATTGAATTTGCCTAAAAAGCTTTGTAACTGAGTTATTTCATTAACATTGGTAATTGATAAACCATGTATCATGTTTAATACGATCATTGCTATTCGTATTTATTTGACCTGCGACTAATATAAAATAAAGAAACGTGACATACATACAAATACTGCACTACATACAAATAAGGAGATTATGGTACCATTAAAGAAGACATAAAGAAAGTCAATTGGGAAGCAGAGCTAACAAATTTGAACATTGAGGAATCATGGAAACTGTTTGAATGCACTGTTAAACAGAGTGTAGACAAGCATATTCCTAAAGCCAAAATAGGACAAAGTGCTCTAACCACAAGAAAACACCTAAAGGATAAGCAAAAAGCCTGGAACAAATACCAAAAGAACAGTACTGCGGACAACTGGAGTATGTACAAAAAGGCTCGAAATGCTGCCACAGAGGAGGTGAAAAGGTCAAAACAAGATTTTGAAAGACAGATTGCAAGAGAAATCAAGGAAAATCCTAAAAGTTGTTTGAGTTATGTGAAGAAAGGAATAGCAAGTCACTCACGAATTCCTCCTCTACTTAAACAAGATGGATCACTTGCTTATAATCCAGAGGATCAAGCAGAAACACTAAATTACTTCTTCATTAGTGTATTCACAACAGAAGATACAAACCAGATCCCGAAGCCAGTGCCATTAGAGGTGGCAGAGAGCCTGGAAGAGCTAGAATTATCTGAGGACACCATCCTAAAACACCTCAAGACACTGAAGCCTGACAAATCCCCTGGTCCAGATGAGATACACTCAAAGGTACTGAGAGAGAGTGCAGATGCGATATTAATTCCACTCTATCTGATTTTCAAGAAATCCATGAATGAAGGACATGTACCAACAGCATGGAAAAAAGCCATTACACAAAACAGGACGTAAGGATGGCAGTGGTAATTACAGACCAGTGAGTTTGACATCTTTAACTTGCAAAGTCATGGAAAAGATAGTGAGAGATAAGATAGCAGAGCGCATGGAAAAGAATGGGTTTTTCTGCCAGATGACATGGATTCAGAAGCTTCACAGTTATTGGAAATATTAGAGACATGGTCACAACTTGAAGACCTTTCAAAACCATTTGACTGCATTTACCTAGATTTTTTGAAAGCTTTTGACAGTGTCCCTCACATGAGGCTGATTGCAAAGATTGCAAAGTGAGTTACACGTGAGTGACGCCGTGGGCAGAGAGAACTACATAACAGAAATTTGAAGAAGATAGGAGCAGCAAATGAGTCAAGATGCACTTATAGTACCAGCTGCTCTTGTATGAACTAAAAGAATTAAAGCGTATGCATGATAACTTGAAAATACATAAAACCACTATTGTAATGCAACAACTGACATATACAAGCATTCTCTTGCAGCATGAGTTAATTCAGAAATAATTTCAAGATGTAACAAATTTGTACTTCAATTGCACATAGTGATCTACATGGCATCATGACATACAGTTTAGAGATATTAAAGACATTAAAAGATTTTTTTCTCAGTCTGCTTAAAGTTTCTTCTCTTATCACATCTATGAAAACTCAGGTCTACCAATTCTCTTTTATAACATCAATGAAATTTCATAAATGTTTAGATTCCAGGGCAATGGCATATAGCTACAGGAGGCATGGGGCACATGCACCCCCCCCCCCCCCACCCATTGAGTAGTGGAACATAAAAAGAAAGAAAAGGCCAGAAAAGGGGGAAGAGGAAAAGGGGAAAAGTACAAGAAAAGAAGATTCCTCAAATAATGGACCCTCCTAATAACTAGCCTTGTAAATTCACAATTCAATTACGAGTGAGAATGCCCCCCCCCCTCCTCTCGATAGATTCACTCACACTGTGCCACGGTGCCAGGGATGTCATTAAATTCAAAGCTAGCCTCTGTCACTAGTTCTTTATGGAAGATGAATGGCAGTGAACCCCAACTCTTGTAGGTCTTGGTCGTGCTTGCTGTGTTTCTGAGTCTTAATGTCTTGATGGAGAATGCAAGTAGCATCCGATTGCTGCACTTTAAAATGCTACCAAGCTTGGTGTCACATCGCTCATCCGCACATCTGTAAGACAAAAAATGTGAAAACTACAGAGATAAAGATGAAATTACCAGTTCTTTAACTACATAATGGAAATAAGAAATATTAAACAAATAGGGAAACCGAAGATACATCTATAATGGAACATGATTTCGGAACATGATTTACATGGAATACCGATCCCAAGTATTAATCAGAGCCAGAGAAAACACCCCCAAATCCCAGCCTGCAACGTACAGTCCACCCTGGACAAACTTTTAGATATTTCCTCCAAAACAGAGTCATCATTTCAAGTCATCTAACTACCATTTTCCAGTATTGGTTTGATGCGGTTAGCGGGGTACACAGGGTCTTGGACAGCAATTCAAACACTCCTATTATGGCCACCATGGTACAGAGATTAAGCTAACAATGCTACAGCAAAAGTACAAACCTGATTTCTTTCTTGGCATGTTCAACGGATGACCAGTGTCCTGGATCTTGACCGACTCCTCCTGAAGCCACAATCCTGATCTTGCTGAATATTTGCCGATGGATGACCACATGATGACCACCAGGTACAATCCTGATATCAGCTGAATGGCAAACTAGAGCATCACAATGCTTACAATGGTAACTGTGGTTGCACTCATCAAATGGTTTGGGTTGCTGTTGGTTGAAGATCTGTACATTGCGCTGTTGCTGGTATTCAGCAGTCTGTGAAAATAGATCAAAAGTTATTGCAGTGTTTGTCAAGATTATTTTACAAAAATGTAATGAATTGAATTCTCAGATGATTATATATGTATCACTTCATTAAAGTGGGCCCAGATTCCTATTCTAATTGATTTAAAATGTGTTGATTACTAACAAGTTGTACATAAATTTTCACCTTTTTGACCTTTGATTATACATCATAAAGAATACCATCTGAAAAATTAATAAGAAGGAAGTTACATCAAATAAATTTGACTCAATAGATTCATCAATGACAAATAGAGTATTCTTAATATACACTAGCATCAGAGAGGGTTTGACCTACACAAAATACTTACTGAATAAATTTAACAAGGTAATTTCATATAATATATTGTTTTTTGTTGTTGCAAATATGCATCCCTGTCAGAGCATTTTTGGGATTAAAAGAAACTTGATCAGGGTTTTCACAATCAACATTAGAGTTGCTTCGACTTACCCCACGTTTCATCTGCTCAATAGAAAGTGATGAAACTGCATCAGTAGCTCGTTGCATGATCTGTTCCTGTTCCTTACTTAGTTTATCTTTCCCATCCAGTCCTCTGTAATCATGAACTACCAGATCAAAGCGACCTCCTGGTTTACGCGTTCGGCCTTCAAAAGCAAGATCATAAATGCAACATGAATACAGGCATGGATCCATTGAGCATTGTTAGTTTCAGGAATAATCGATAAAGGATAATAAAATTATGAACCTTTAAAAAAGATTTTGGTCAATTAAACATAAGTTTGAGAACTCTGTGATTTCTCTTGCTAGCAGCTTCCAATCATTTGTTCTTCATCAGCGACCAAGAAGGGAGATACTTGTTTTATTATTTGTTGGGGGTCATACATTTTCTATTCATTTTATTCTTCCAATTGGTTTGGCAGCTGTTATCATTTGTGTAGTCTTGGATATTACGTCAAAGTGCATTTATAATTCTGTCAATATCATAAATCAGGATTATTGCTCAGTATTTTTTTAACAGCTAGTAACAACAAGAAATATACCTCTGGCTTGAATACGTGCAACAGCATCAGTGATGTAGTTGTACCTGTAGACAAAGTTGCATGCTGGGATATCAATGCCTTGTTGCATGACCGAGGTTGCTATGAGCAGCTTGTGTACACCATCACGAAAGTTGTCTAGGACATCTTTCTGATGACGTAAGTTCATGCCTTTAAAAAAAAAAGATATGAAATTACATTTAATACTGATCTGAAAATAAACATTCCGAATATTTCCATCTAAGCTTCAAACTGTGCAGTATATCCATCAATCATTCAAGCGCAAAATAATTGTGAGTATTTGTTTTCCTTTAATAGCAGAAAGTTTATTTTATACTCAGATCTGCAGTCAAATTCCTCTTCAAGCAGAATGAACATTGAATTGAAAATTTGTTTGCAAGTATTGGCTAAATATATGAAATATATATGAACGAAAGAAAATATTGACAGTCGATTGGTAGGATAGGCCCTGTGAATACAGTCCTTGAGCTAATGATGATCAGGTTCAATACATCTTCTTCTTCCTCCTCTTGGCATTAAAGATAAACAGTACCAAACAGCCCAGTGTGAAGGTATTTAAATAGAACAAGAATGAAAGCTGTCTACTTTACTTTCAGCATGGGCTTAGTCATTGAAACAAGAAGCACATATTCTATGGATTTGAAGAATAAAGAGGAGCTAGGTAAGGGTAGTAAAGAGACAATTTCCATCTCCCCCAATCCGGACAATTTTTGCCCCAAAAGCGACTATGTATACCGGTCCCTCTTTTTGAAATGGTTTGGATTCGGAGGTTAAGGAAGCACCATCGTTAAATTTCTTTAGACGCAAACTTCGAGTTTTCTTTTAAGTTCTTACATCTGATATAATTTGTTTGCCCTCCTTACAGTCCTTTTTTTCTTCAATTTTAATCTTAATTGTTAATTAATGATGCCTGTTCCGGTGTTTATAATGTAAACATGAACAAATTACTTTGTGCTATGCTAACTAAATTGCTCGGGTGACTACGCATTTTGACTACGCTTTTAACCGGGTGACTATGGGTATTGGTGCCAATGCATTATTTTGTATAAAAATGTCTTTTTTTCATTGTGTTTTAAATTCTCCCCTCTTAATTACGTGTTTCTCTACTGCTACTTTTTTTTAAAAATCTAAATTACTTTTTTTCTTCCAGAAACCTATTTTATACAAGCCCTGCTTTTTAATGGGTTCCTCACATTTTACTTTATCTATTATATGAACTGAGAATCATTGACATGTGCTCATTTGTACTACAATTGTAATTTATATGTATGTTTATATTTTCTGTAAAATGTGGAACATTAAACTTGAAACATGAAACTTGAGATACAGACTGGGTAATGCAAAGGTCTGGGAGAAAGGTGAGGTTTATAAAGGCCTGTGGGCAAACATTGTTAAGGGCATCTGGTATTTCTACTTCTTAATTTTATCGGGTAGCACCGTAGCAGTCCTTACAAAGATGGACCGTAATTATGCAAGAAACATTAGAGATCGCAGGATATGTGACCCACTGCAAATGGCACAAACAACCTTTGATGAGGCAGGTAAGTACAAACACCTGGGTTTCTGCAGCCAACTAACACCTCTGGATGAAGATCTTTGAGGGAATCTGTCTCCATGACCCAATTCTTGAGAGCCCATGTAGATGCGATGGTCTGAGTGAAGAGGATAGCTCGGAATGGACCATTATTCTCCTGGGTCCGACATTTCACTATGTCTCCTTCTATCAGGCTCTGAAGCTCGTCAAGAGCTGGGTTATTTGGTGATTTAGGACTCATTGAAATTCTCTCCAGTTCTTGTTGCTTGTCTGTTTTGAGTAAAGAATATAGCAGAGTGAAGTTTTTATACTATAGTAGCCCGGTGATATAGAGTAGCTAGGTCAGCGTTTTTAAACCTTTTTTTAAAGCACGGCACCATCTAAAGAAATAAAGGTTTTGTGTCACCCTAATCCCAAATTCCTTACAGAAGATTTATCTTGCATCACTCTGGCACTTAAGTGCCATGAACATTCGTTTCTAAATTTTGTGAGCTAGCGAAACGTGCGAGCCAAAAATAATGAAGAACAGAAAATAAACTTATACGACTCCACTGTAATCTGAAATTTGCAGTAGCTTTCTCCGTTTACTTTCATACAATTTTCTCACTCCCTTTATCTCAAAAAATTCTCAGAAAGATATCTTTAGGCTTGAATGATTTATTGGTACATGGTGGGAGTATAACTCAAAACATTAAATGCATAAAATCAATTAATAAAGGGGTTACGCTTCATCTACTATCTTATTCAAGAACTCTAGAATTGGTTGAATGATAGCTTTTAGAACAAAATGTAAGATTACCTTGGAACGTTCGAATGAGCATTTTCTCTGTGTTCGAGGTGGCAGCTTTATTGCTCTTTTCTCTGATGAATTCTTGGAGATATTCTAAAGCATCCTTGGTCCGAGCTGTTTCATGAATGGCAAGTGCACTGCTGTATTCCTAAAAAAATAAAGGTTTTCCATCAGTCCGGCGGATTAATGATGTCAGCGGTGGGATATAAACCTGGATGCATGTGGAGGTGCATGGTGTTATGATGTGTGGATAAGTGTTCTGACTGTATATTTCACAGATATTATAGACTAAAGGAGGTTTCCATCAGTACGGAGGATTAATGATGTCAGCGGTGGGATATAAACCAGGATGCATGTGGAGGTGCATGGTGTTATGATGTGTGGATAAGTGTTCTAACTGTACATTTCACAGATATTACAGACTGGATACTCCAGTCCAGAAGAGTAATGCTGTCAGCGGTGGGATATAGACCAGGATGCATGTGGAGGTGCATGGTGTTATGACATGTGGACAAGTGTTCTGACTGTATATTTTACAGATATATTAGACTGTAGTAGGTTTGCAATCAGTCCGGAAGATTAATGATGTCAGCGGTGGGATATAAACCAGGATGCATGTAGAGGTGCATGGTGTTATGATGTGTGGACAAGTGTTCTCACTGCATATTTCACAGATATTATAGACTAAAGGAGGTTTTCCATCAGTCCCGAGGATTAATGATGTCAGCGATGGGATATAAACCAGTGTGTATGTGGAGGTGAATGGTTTTATGACAAGTGGACAAGTGAGAAGAACATTGCGTCTAGTGTCTTTGAGAAGCTTACCAGGAGCCATGCAAAGTAATATTTGTAGAAAATTGGAACTTTGAATGAAGTGACTACCTTTAGATATTGTGCACATGTCATGAGACTGAGCTGTAAATCACTTGATTGAAAATTCTCTATTATCTCTTTCTTCAGCGTGCACAGAACATGGCTGAAGTTCTCTCTGGAATGGTTACTGCTTCGGAGACTGGAAAGCTTTTCAACCGTAGTGTTGAGAACAGAGCTTCCTGTAATAAAATGAATCAAACAAATATAACGTTGGCCTCTTTAAGCAGAGAGAAACTCTTCATCTATTATATTTATTGTGCCAACAGTAAGCCAGATTTTTCATTTCCCATAATTGTCTACTTGACTGAACTGAAACGTGATAAATTTGCAGAGTTTTGATGATTGCTTCGAACACGACGTGTGTGATAACAAGCTACAGCCAGGATATACGTTTCTAAATAGCACCAAGATGTCCCTGTGATTTGCATTGTAAACATTCCCAATATATTTCCAGCGCATTAATGCAGCCAATTTTTTCCAAATAATGATGGCGATCATTTATATGTATCAGTGAATCTTGTACATCCACTAACAAAAATCAGACACTTTACAGACTATGCATCACTAACAAGTGATTTTGAAGAGTATATTCTCGGACCTACCTGTGCTTGAGTTGATATACTTGAAGACCTGATACATAAGATCCTGTATTTCTTCTGCAAATGAATCCTCGGTTCTGCTTGTCACTACATGCAATCCTGATAATGAAATCGGTCTTTAGATTATGATCGTAAAGACTTAAAACAAATAACCTAAGATTATATACTAATTATGTATATCGCGAATCAATGAGATGTATATAAAGCTCCACTACCACGTTGACATTAAACCTTCTCACAAAATTACAACTTATCTTTAAATAATGCTCCGTTTAACCGTAGGCAGTTTAAAATGCCGAGATTTTGATAAAGTATCTTTTTTGAAAAGAAGAAAGCCTGCGTTACATAATGAAATCCAAAATGAAGTTCCTGACTTACGATGTAAAGTTAGGTTATTCTGTAATTAAGTTTGTACTATAATGACAAATAAAAAGATGAGCAATAAACAGAGGTTTGCAATATGAATGAAAATATTTCCTATAATAATTTAGGTTGAGGGTTAATCGTAGGGTTAGGTTAGGTTAAGTATTTCTAAAGCTCACTTTCGCTATAAATCTGCATTTATTCTTTTAGAAATTAAACATGGAGAAATTGTTGCTGGAGCAGATAATTTATGATATATTCTGCATATCTAATGGATCTATTATATGTATACATGTATCATACAATCAACTAATGAGCAGAGCCTTCTACTGAAACTTGATTTCTTTTGGTGTTCAGTAGGCATCAGTTGGTGATTTCTTCTCTTCTCCTAATGTAATTTTTTGTTTGTTTTCTTTGTTATCGTTATACTCCTTTATGTTCCTGGAAATGAAATATGGTAAAATAAACATCAAAATAAATCATTCTATTAGAACTTTCATTTGACAAAACAAAGATGGAGAAGATATTCTCACCTTCATCAGGCTCGTTGACAACCTTTTCCAAGCTCTCTTTATGTTTCTGAACAGTGGATAACTTCACTACATCCATGTTAGCACACATCTTGAGCATGTATTGAATGGCATTCTTGTCAGAACGTGCGTTACCTACTCCTAGAGATGCTGTCATGCCAAGAATCTAATACAGAATAACAAAATCAATACAATAATCATAAGCACGACTATATCTTAAGAAATACATAAAATGTAATCAAAAGAAAACCATCTTGTGATACTTCATCTAAACTCAAGATGATAATTCAAAGAGTTTGAAAAACAATAACCTCTTTCAATGTACATTCTTGTGAATATTTGACGAAATATGGGGTAAAAAAGAACAATTAAAACAGTTCATTTTTAAATACAGCACTGATATTACACACGTTCAAAGTGCTACATAAACCAAAAATAAAAGTTTTGAACCTGAACTTTAAATTTTCTTTGACTTATCTGCTGCAGGATAAACTTACCTGAGGAAGTGGTTCCTTATTTGTCAGTTTTTGCTCCATGTACTTTGCCATGATAGCATTGTATTGACTCTCTTTCTGAAATGACACAAATTTATAACCATCTTGCAATACAGAATAATATATGAATCGCATAGGGAATCATACTCAATGGTATTCTGTATAAGAAAGTTCATCTAAAACAAACATTTATTACGCAAACTGCGGATACAAACATTATTTAAATATGGGAGAGAAGGGGTAAAATAACATTTATAAACAATTACATTTTACCAGCATTATTATTCCATTAGTATTTTGGAGAACAGGTTGAAGCTATGTTTTTTCTGAAGTGACTGGCATAGTAATATGATAGTCACCAAACTCAAAGATCTATAATGTTACTGTGCCCTAAGAAGAGTGCATGGTATAAATACACACACACACCACACTTGTGACATGCCACATTACAGTGGATGCCGATATCGCGATAGGCATATTGATAGCTTCGAATGGGTGTCAAATGGGGTATATTTAGGATATACCCCATTTCAGGTTACGCAATATCCATTTATTCTCCACGCTGGATGTATTCCATGTATTCCATGTCATGTAAGCCATATGTGGCCAATCTTCTCACTTAATTTGTTTTGATGTGGGATATAATAAATCATTCATGACATTATAACATGTATCAGAATATAACCTAAGCTTTCAATAAACTTGAAAAGTTGACTTTGACAAAAATCCATTCATATATTTTTTTGATTATACAGAAGATAGGATGATTACTAATGAAGAAGAAGGGGTTTTCATTTGGAGTTCCCTAACAGGTGTCATTCTAAAAAAGGTGTTATAAATTGTGATTGCAAGATGACGAATTACAGTGGAAATATCAAAAACTTTCATGATCTCCTAATAAAGCCTTTTATGCATAAATAAACTTTTTGAATTGCAAAATTCCAGTGTTGGGAGTCATTCCTTTATGGCATTAACCTTCTGGGAATATGGACCACTGCAAGCTTTTGTGAGAGTTTCTACCACATGGCAATCTTCTAATATTATGCTTGTATAGTCACCTTTGTCTCATGGCACTCATCTAGGACGATAAGTCCTATTTGGTTGAATGACACCTGTCCCTTGGTCAAGGCATCTACAAGTATCTGTGCTGTTAGAACCACTACATCGTTCTTCCTCAAGACTTCATCTAGAGGGAGGCGTGTTATTTCAGGCTGGCCATGATCACCACATATATAGGCCACATCTTTGATGTATTTCTTGAACACTGTACTCCGCTTGTATACAAGAGGTACCTGTAACAAAACAATGCATGTTATTCATTAGTATGAAAGTAATAATACATAACCGTTTCTGTTTAAATATCTGTGGTTTAATCATTTGCTGAACTTAATATTATCCCATATGTATACACGATATTGTTGGACCTTGATCATAGGTTTTCGGATATGTCCAAGTTATAAATTCATATAATTATTACTATTATCATTTAAATAAAACTTTTATTGTCGTTACACAGTATTGGACATTCATGCAAACGAGGATTAAAATTACAGGAATAAAAAAAAAAAAAATGGTTGATTCCAAAACACCTCCCCCCCCCCCCCCCCCCCCCCCTCCCCCTGAGGGAACCTAAAGAGGGATGGTAGGATTCAAAAGATCGTATTCCCAGGAAACATTATCCTGGAAAACAAATTAACATTTATCATGCTCCCCCCTCCCACCCCCTCCCCCCCCCCCCCCCCACCCACCACCACATCCCTGGTTTACCCAAAACTGTGTCTTTATGTTAAGTGTAATAGACAGAGGGGAAAAGAAAGAGACAAATTGATTATTTTGGGGGTACCTTTTTCCATGTACAAAAATAATGTCTTCTTCAATAAGGAGAATTTGATGTACATATAGGAGGAATGAAAGCTCATTAATCCGATTACCTGATTTACAACAAAGATGACCTTTTTCCCTGGTGATTTCCTGAGGACCTCCTGAGCTACAGCAACAGCAACATACGTTTTCCCTGAACCAGTAGGAGCTACAATACATGTATTATGGCCCCGAAGAGCAGGCTTGGCAAGTTCTACCTGGTAGTCTTCAAGGTTTTCCAGATGACCAATAGATACACAGATATCTGGAATTGCCCGAAAATATTCATCACAGAATGAACTGATCATGTAAATGTATGTCTTTTAGCTAAAGCATCTGTCTTTCCGAACCTATAACATGCAAAACTAATTATATCACATGCATTATTAATATTCCTCTTCATAATTTTTGTGAAATAACGAACATTCGCCTTCACTTTTGCTAAAACATGAATAAATAATGCAAACAAGAACAAATCTATGTATCACTATTCTAAATATATGAAAGCAAATGATGTTTCATGATCACTCACTAAAGAATTTTGTTATCAAGGTTCCATTGTTCACCTTTTTCAAACCACGATTGAACATGTTTCGGTTCCAAAGTGCTCCTATCCTTGGCTGCATGCCAGCTCCTATTCTAAAGAGCCATCCTGCAAAACCTCAATCTACACTAGTGTAATGAAATGATTTGTAGCTTTTGTTTGATGTCTGTCTGACTTGCATACCTGATTGACTGACATAGCAACCAAACATGCAGTCAGGAAGTAAATTGTATTGAAATTACTTTGTAGCTTTTGTTTGACGTTTGCCTGACTTGCATACCTGATTGTCTGACATAGCAACCAAGCATGCAGTCATGAAGTAAATTGTATTGAAATTACTTTGTAGCTTTTGTTTGATGTCTGCCTGACTTGCATAAATGGTTGCCTGATATAGCAACTAGGCATGAAGTCAGGTGGTATATCACTTTACCCCCTTATTGCTTTAATTCTTAAAGTGCGGGTTCATACCATGTACGGGGTTTAGAGTGAGGCAATAGATTAAACATTTCACCATATGGTATTGAAGTAATACCCCATTCACAGTGGTTTTGAAATTTGTAGCGGCGCTGTAGCGGAGCGGCGACACCGCCATAACACCGCTACAAATGCATTCACAGTAGAAAAGTTATCCCGCTGCAGCAGCGGGATAAATATCATGTACCCATTCACGCTGCAGCGGGTGATTTTTATTACCTCCGTAACAAACACGTGTATGCATGGCTCATGACCCGCGAGTGACCCCGATATGACCGGAAATACTTGCTTGAAATTGCGCGGTAAACATGTCAAGTTGCTTTTTGTATCCTCGATCATATTACTTTTTAAAAAACTAGCATTTTTATTGCTTCCAGTCAGAATATTTTAATTTTTTGAAGTGTGAAATATTTTTATTTGGATAATATAATACCTACATAATAATACAATCAATTTGAATCCACTGGTTACTTTATTTCTATTTCACTTTATGTTCCCCATTGCTGTAGAAAAGAGGTCAGTGATAGGTAAGTAAACAAATCACACGTGTTTGTCGCGGTGTTATAGCGGAGAGCCTTCACACTGACTCCCTCAGCGCACTCCTCTCAATGCAATCAATGAAAGGAGATAAGTCAGATAACTTCATAAACGACATCAAGTATATATACACAAGACTGGCATACAAAGGCATTCAAGTCCATCTAGAATGGATCCCCTCTCACTGTGGAATACAGGGAAACGAAATAGCGGACCTTCTCGCAAAACAAGCCCTAACTGAAGAAATACAAATAAATAACAAGCTATGTTTGTCTGAAATGAAAGCAGTATTGAAAATAGAACTATACAAGAGTTGGGAAGAAACATGGCAAAATTACAATAAAACAAACGTAAGACCTTTCAAACCAACAATTCAACATAACTTTGAGAGCACCCTTTTTAGAGACTGCGAAGTCATAATTCGTAGGCTCAGACTTTGCAACATAGGACTAAACGCAGACCCCTCAAAAGTATGGGTATCCCAAACAACCCAACCTGGCCAAGCCAACAAAAATTGTAAATACTGTAACACCCCTGAAACAATAACACACTATCTGATGGAATGTCCAACATATACAATAGAAAGAGCAATGCTGATAATGGAAAGTGATATAACGAGCCCAAACGAAATTATGAAACTCCTAAAATCAACAGAAAGTGCGACCCAGAGAGCACTGATCCGCTTCGTTCGTAGAACGAGGCGTTTTGAGTGTTCCTAATTTTTTTTTTTTTTTTTTTTTTTTTTTTTTTTTTTTTGCACATATCGCACGACAACCAAATGCCCTAAGATGTTGATACCTACTTTGATAGAAAAATAAGGTTTTACAAAATGGAAAAATACTAGAAGAGAAAAGGTAAGAAAGAGTAAAGACGGATTGAGGACGGTAAACCCCAAACAAGAGACTCTGGAGATCTACCCCAGAATCCTCTCACCGGCACCAGAGTTGCCTAGGCCAATGATGGCCGAGAAGATTGCGCAATGTACCGCGCCGGTCTGGCAGGAAGGTGCCAATTGCGGTGAGGGGTTTTCATGGACCAGTAGATCTGAGATTATATTATCCAAAAAAAAAAAAAAAAGAGATGAGTATGAATTTACAAATAGTACCAAAATATAGAAGAAAAAAAGAAAGAAATAAAGTGAAAGGCGTAAATATTCTAAAAAAGAATGAAACGCCGATAATACCAAACAACAACAACAACTGGGTAAACACCGCGACAGCAGCGGGACTGTCCCGCTGCTGTAGCTAGGCGTCCCTAGCGATAGTTTGTGTCGGCGTTATCGCTAGGCGGTGTTATCCCGCGATAGTTTATAACGGGTCCGAGCCTTCACACTGAAGACAACACCGCGACAGCAGCGGGACAGTCCCGCTGCTGTCGCGGTGTTTGAGGCCACTGTGAATGGGGTAGTATACCCCATTCACAGTGGTTTTGAAATTTGTAGCGGCGTTGTAGCGGAGCGGCGACACCGCCATAACACCGCTACAAATGCATTCACAGTAGAAAAGTTATCCCGCTGCAGCAGCGGGATAAATATCATGTACCCATTCACGCTGCAGCGGGTGATTTTTATTACCTCCGTAACAAACACGTGTATGCATGGCTCATGACCCGCGAGTGACCCCGATATGACCGGAAATACTTCAGCGCGGGGTTTTCGATTGCTTACAATTGCGCGCGATCATATTACTTTTTAAAAAACTAGCATTTTTATTGCTTCCAGTCAGAATATTTTAATTTTTTGAAGTGTGAAATATTTTTATTTGGATAATTATAATATCTACATAATAATAAAATCAATTTGAATCCACTGGTTACTTTATTTCTATTTCACTTTATGTTCCCCATTACAGGAGAAAAGAGGTCAGTGATAGGTAAGTAAACAAATCACACGTGTTTGTCGCGGTGTTATAGCGGAGAACCTTCACACTGAGTAAACACCGCGACAGCAGCGGGACTGTCCCGCTGCTGTAGCTAGGCGAACCTAGCGATAGTTTGTCGCGGCGTTATCGCGAGGCGGTGTTATCCCGCGATAGTTTATAACGGGTCCGAGCCTTCACACTGAAGACAACACCGCGACAGCAGCGGGACAGTCCCGCTGCTGTCGCGGTGTTTGAGGCCACTGTGAATGGGGTATAAGAGAAATAACTGAAGAAAAGATGACAAAACAGGCACTGAAATTGTGTGAGATGTCACGGGACATCGTCATGTTTAACATGTGACGTCATATCTCAGCAGCGACCGGGGAGCTTTTCAGGTGCTATGTCAGGGCTGTATCTGAGCGTTTTGTAATTGTTAATAATCGTTACTTCGAATGTTTCCAAGCTTTGGCTTTTGATAACCTTGGCCAATCAAAGTGCCACCTTTGCAATAATGATATTAAAGTTAGTTTTTTTTAAATCAATGAACCTTCTCTTTAACTATGTGATGCAAATGTTTTGTACTCGCGCTCTGATATGTCTGGATTAACATGACAGAAGAAAGGATAAAAGTTTGCCTCGTGTAGTGGCCTGTAGAGATGTGATGTACATGTACCTGTAGGGAGTGGCAATATTGCCAATAGATAGAGTAAATTATACCGCCTGTTCTGTCATGTTTGATATTTTGCCTGTTCTTAAAAAAACAGAATGACTTTGAACTGAATACACTTGAGCCTGCATTATTATTGTTTGGTTTCACTACACTAGGGTCTTAAAGATAAGATTGGAGAGTTATCTTTATGATGACATTGACTGTAATTCCACCAATTTATGAGCGCAGACGATCCCTAAATAAGAATACAAATCACATCATCATAATTTAATTGATTACAATGATTTGGAATTGCAAAATGATGATGGGAAAAAACTGATGATGATGATCATGGTGATGATGATAATAATAACAATAACAACATTTACTGTTTAAGTGGATAATATGACAGCCATTCTTGTATAGTGCATATTAATACAAACCAAGAGAAAGTAGAATGATTAAACTACATTTATCCAAGCTTCATAATCTTATCGACTATCTGAGAAATGATTGATTAATATTATTAAATACCAAAATAAGTACCAAAGCCTTTATCAGTAGGTCAAAATTTTGGTAGATTTTGGTCTATTTTTCAAAAGGAATCACCAGAGATTCTAGCTCTCGACAGAATTCAATATTTCATTAAATATGGATAACTTCTGATTATCTCATGATAGTTCTGAAGGAACAATCACAATCCACAAATCACAAAGTCGGAACACTAATCCAATTTATTTAAGAAAAAAAAATCATGATTTTGAAAACTGTGTACATTTTTCTCAGAAAGGAATTTTTGAATAAAACACATGGAATGTAATTTACTTTCTGATCCTGATTCCGTGCTTGGAAGACTCCTCTCGTCGGAATCCTCATCATCTGCACAAATCAAGAAAGAAGAAAATAATACTCCTTTCAACAGATCAAGCCCGACTTCAATGATTTATATATGACTGACAAATGTGGTGGCATGGCCCTACAATACAAAGACTTGCAGAAGGGAACGACAAATCTAAAGAAATCTAAAAACACATATAATAACAAGGGTTCCTGGTCCCTTCTGCCTTATTGTAAGCATTTCAGAATAAGTTTGTTATTAGATTTAATCTATTTATACTGAACGCCTTGAGTACTATCTTGTATTTTAGCAATGTTGCAAATGTCTGTAATTTATCATTGTTGTTATTATTTTTATTACACGAGAGAGAGAGAGAGAGAGAGAGAGAAAAGGAGAAACACAAAGCTAATACAGACTACCGTGGAACCCACACCTGATTTGCTCCTGAATATACTCTAACCGAATGAGAGAATTTCATAAGAAATCCATACCGCAGTAGACAC